ACTACATTCCACTACACTCCACTACACTACACTACATTACACTACATTACACTGAATGACACTGCACCACAGATAGACAGGTAGACAGGTAGACAGCTAGACAGATAGACAGATAGACGGATGAAAGAGAGAGAGAGAGATAGATAGACAGACAGACAGACAGATAGATAGATAGATAGATAATGAGATAGAAGAGATAGAGAGAGATAGAGAGAGATAGATCGATCGATCGATCGGATAGATAGGTAGGTAGGTAGGTAGATAGTCAGAGAAAGAGAGAGAAAGAGAGGAGACCTCAAGCACCTTTCGGTCCATCAGTGGCTTCGCTCTGCCATCCCTGATGCGCAACAACCAACCTCTCCTATAGGTGTCCTATTTTTGAAACTTGCGCCACCGCCTTGTGCGGTACTACTGGTACTAGTTAATATTGGTTAATAATGGTTAATAATGCTCACACTTACAATGGTTAACACTGGTTAATAATGGTTAATATTAGGTAATATTGTTTAATAATGGTTAATAATGCTCACACTTATAATGGTTAACACTGGTCAATATTGGTTAATATTAGTTAATATTAGTTAATAATGGTTAATATTGGTTAATAATGGTTAATAATGCTTATACTTAAAATGGTTAACACTGGTTAATAATGGTTAATATTAGTTAATATTGGTTAATAACGGTTAATAATGCTTATACTTATACTGATTAACACTGGTTAATAATGGCTACATAATATTAGATAATATTGGTTAATAATGATTAATATTGGTTAATACTGGTAAATAATGCTTATACTTATAATGGTTAACACTGGTTAATAATGTTGAATATTAGTTAATATGGGTTAATAATGGTTAATAATGCTTATACTTATAATGGTTAACACTGGTTAATAATGGTTAATATTAGGTAATATTGGATAAAAATTGTTAATAATGCCTATACTTACAACTGTTAACACTGGTTAATAATGGTTGATATTAGTTGATATTGGTTAATAGTGGTTAATAATGCTTATACTTATAATGGTTAACACTGGTTAATAATGTTGAATATTAGTTAATAATGGTTAATATTGGTTAATATTGGTTAATATTGGTTACTAAATGTTAATAATGCTTATACTTATAATGGTTAACACTGGTTAATAATGGTTAACATTGGTTAATAATGGTTAATACTGGTTAATAATGCCTATACTTACAACTGTTAACACTGGTTAATAATGGTTAACATTGGTTAATATTGGTTAATACTGGTTAATAATGGTTAATAATGGTTAATAATTGGAATATCGTGGATAGGGAATGGTAACCATACCACCTATGAAAATGGTGATTTGGGGGATAGTTTATTATTGTTTAAACCACAGTTTATCATTATCATTGTAAATATATTATCACTAGTATTAGTACCCCCAGGCCGGGGTTGCTAATACCCAGAGGTTTATCATGTGACCAAGTCTTTAGGGGTTGTGTAGGGTTTATTTAGGGTTTCATTTAAGTTTTCATTTAGGGTTCTTTGGATTGTTTTCTCTAATTTTTAAACACGGTAATGGAAAGTAAATATACAATAATAGTATCTAATAATAGTATATAATAATAGTAAATAATAATGGTATATAATATAATGATAGTATATAATAATAGTATATAATAGTATATAATAGTATATAATAGTATATAACAATATATAATAGTATATAATAGTATATGATAATAGTAAATAATAATAGTATATGATCATAGTATATAATAATAGATATAATAATAGTATATAATAATATCTAATAGTAGTATATAATAATAGTACATAATAATAGTATCTAATAATAGTATATAATAGTATATAATAATAGTATATAATAATAGTATATGATAATAGTATATGATAATAGTATATAATAATATCTAATAGTAGTATATAATAATAGTACATAATAATAGTATCTAATAATAGTATATAATAGTATATAATAATAGTATATAATGATAGTATATAATAATAGTATATGATAATAGTATATAATAGTATATAATAAGAGTATATAATAATAGTATATAATAATAGTATTAGTAACTTAGTAATTCATTCATTATTATCATAGTATATTATATAACGGTAATAATATGGACAGTCACAAAGGACAGTTCCAAGAGGTTGCTATGCTATTGATCATCATTATATATGTTCAATAATTATGACTGTTGCTATGTTAATTTAATGAGAAATCCATGTCAAATCATCAAAGAACATCGGGGATGAGAACTATGATAATCATATTGACGATAGTAACGGTCATAAAGCGTGAATGGATATGCAATAATATGCATGTGTTTTTAACAGAAGAATAAACTAATAATAACACAGAAAAACAATAGTTAAATGATACGAAAGAACACACAAGTTTTAATAGAAAACTGCAATCAGATTTACAACGATAGTATATGAATATACTTTATGAATCTGAAAAAATGACAAATATTGCTAAAAGCAAAAATGAAATAGTATCTTGTAGTATCCTATAACCATAATCATGAATCATGACTATATAACTATGGATTCCTGGATGATCTGACCATATCTGAAGCTGTTTTTGCAATGTTAACTGGTTTGTGGTATACCTACCCCTCTGAAAAATATGCGAAAGTCAGTTGGGATGATGACATTCCCAATATATGGAAAAATAATCCAAATGTTCCAAACCACCAACCAGTTAATATCCTGATTGTGGATCAATAGCGCGTGATGATCGGCAATGATAGGTCATGGATGTTCCTGGACAAGCCGGAAATGCACATACGGTATCATACGTTCCTCTGGCGCACCCGTAACTGCCAATTAATGGCATGTTGAAAGTTAAAGAACAATGGTTCCAGTCTTATACATGAAGTTTAATGATAATTAATGTTAATGAATAATATATCTCTTTATGGAAAATTAATAACCTCTCTATTCATGATGGTTAATGAATAACTCGTGTTTTACCCGGCCAGTTGTTTCACCAGCATAGATCATCATCACTTGGGCCACACAAAATCTGCTTTGTTTGCAAAGCAGGGTACCCAAAGAGGTACCCCTATATCAACTACTGAATCATAGGTTATCATCTTCCATATTTTTGGGTTTCCATAAGTTGGGGGGACCCTCATATCAAATCATCCCAGTTTAATGGTGTTTGTCATATTTTTCATCATAAACTATCCAGCTATTGGGGTACCCCCATTTATGGAACCCCCCACTCACAGCCTCATCGCATGCGGCATCCAGATCGACTTCTCCTGCGAAAATCATTGGAATCTCTGGGGATCCAGGGGTCCTTTCGGGCGTGAAACCAAGAGTTATCTGCCCAAAAACCGAAGTCTTCCGCTATAATCTGCTTTTTTTTGTATCTAAACATGGCTTTATCAGCAAAAGGTGATCAAACAAACCCCAAAAAATGGTGACATGTTTTGGGGACCCCGGATCAAAAATGCGACTCGCTGTTGATACTTCTCAGATGTTCCCTGCGTCCCATCGTGTCTCGATTCCTCCTGCAACCAGCCGCAGCTGCAGGGCCAGAACCTTGACACCAGGAGTTCACAGATTTACTGGGGAGTCAATTTCACCAAAAAGTGGTTGCTGCACTGCCAAAGAAAAGTTGGAAAAAATCGGGATGTGGATCTCCGGTTTTGAAAGAACCAACGATCGTCAACATCAGCCAATGCATGGGGTTGGTAAATGTTCCTTTTTGGTGATTGTGAACATCACTTTTAAGTATCTGTTGGAGATTGTATCCCCAATAGTTGGGTGATGTTCAAGTAGGACATTTACCAACCCCTGGGGGCCGCATGGCTGAAAGATGCCGAATCCCCACATAGAGACGGCAGACGGACGTTCTTGGAGCGGCAGTTCAAGTTAAAAATGAATATATAACCATATAACAGCATAGATTACCATGGTTATACCATGTTCATGTTATACCATATAATATATATATACCATGTTATATTACCATGGTTATACCATATATATATATACACATATACCATGTTATATGTAAGATTATAGTTATATTATATATATGGTACTATATGGATATATAACCGTACCAGGGTTATACATGGTTATACCATGTTGTACCCCAACTGCACCAAGCTTGGACTAGCATCCAGTACTGGGATCAACCAGCTGAAAGTGATGTCTTTCACTGTTCTGAACCTTCAAACTGGTCAAAAAAAAACTCAACCAACCCGGACTTCAAATCCCACATTCACAAGGATCAGGCTTCAGAGTCAGAAACGCCCCACCGCGAGATCAACCGAGAAACCAATTTCCACATCCTTCGATCCCCGCGGTGGCGGAACACTTTGAGCAAAAGAAAGAATGGATCTCGGGCGAACAAGCACTGCAACAGACAAAATGCCGAACAATCCTGATCCCAGTTAAAAGCACAATCTCTTTGTTATGACTATAGACTATGTCACTGGTGAAACTGCCATGAAAGCAGTAGATCCTTCCCTGATCTCTCACAACCGAGCTGGTAAGAAGAGGTGGTGCTGGACTTACTCCACAGAGAGAATAGGAATTCCTTAGTATGGGAATCTACACCTGCACCCACCAACCTGCTCGACGAAAAAACATCGTCTATCTGGGAAAGGCGCTAATCACAGTTGTTGCCTTCTTGGGTAAACAAACTTGGCAACAAACGTATATATAATGCATTGTAATTAATTCATATCATATCATATAGATAAGACGTATATATATATATTATAAATATAAACATGTATTGAAATGCATACTAATACATATACATGTTTGCAATATTAGGTCAACTAACTACCCAATGGATCCAATCGTAAATCCTGCATTTATCGCATTAAGGATCCCCATCATCAACCACCATCATGTCTGCATGATTCGATCACCATGCACCTTAAATCCTCAGAGAAATCATCCAGTCAGGCGATTCTCCAAGTTCGGAGCCGGGCTCCGGTTTCTGAGACGCCAACTGACCCTCGCCCTCGGAGGGGGGCGTTTTGACGCCGCTGGGGCCCTGCAGATGTCATAGGGGCATGGGACTTGGTGATGTCATGGGGGGACGGGGAAGTCTTCCATTTTATTGGGGATACATTATATAATATAATGAATGTAGGAAAACCAAACCTACCATTTGGGGATGGTGTTCTTGGCACCCATAATTTTTAGGGTGATTTTGGGCATGGTTAAAAAAGGGTCTCCCACATTAAGGACACTAAGGAGGATATAATTGGTGATTTTCATGGGATATATCACCAACAATGGGATATCACCAAAGAATCTCACAAAAATGTTGTGTCTGAAAATGTGGATGCCCTAAAAAATGCCCCATAAAAATATGTTTCAACATTGCAATGTTATGAAAAAAATTGGGTTTGGGGATCCTCAATTTTCAGGCAAACCCACTTCGGGCTAAAGCCATAATGCACCATACCATACCCCAGTTGCCCAATGATTTCCCTCTGGTAAACATACAAAAAAGTATGGAAAATCACCATTGCAATAGGTGAATCAACTATTTCTATGGGCAATTTTCAATAGGAAACTGTTAAATTACCAGAGGGTTGTCATTTTGGGGTGTGTTCAAACCCTCCAAGAAGGGGGGATTGAACGGACGGCCCATGTCTAGATGAACACAGGTCAAAACATAGTTCGGTATATGGTCAACTGTTTTAATAAGGAATCCTGAAATTGGCTAAGATCATTCACGTGTTTAATGGGGCCATGGGGGCCTTAAACATCCCTCAATGTGGGGTATATCAAGGTATAACTATAACATCCAACTTTTGATTGTAGTCAGTTATATATCCCATCAAATATACCCATGAAATCCCATGAATATACCATCAAAATCCATTAAATCACTATTGTTAAAGAAGGGATCTATACTGATTTCAACTAGTACCCGGACAAGCCGGGGGCGTAAGTTTCAAATTTGAAACGCTTATAGCCTATAGAGCGGAGCAAAGGCTGTCCCTATAGGTGACGGGCAAGACTCCTGTGCTTCGCAGCAACAAGCTCTCGACTTGTCAATCTGATGCCATGTCTTTTGAACGTGGAATCTGTTCTCATGTCATCTGACCTCATCGCATCGCAGCTTCTCCTGGAAATCGCTCATTGCATCCCAGTGTCATCGCAGTCTATGTCATTCCATCTCATCTCAACTCATCTCATGTCTTCTCAGCTTTTTCACCTCATCTCATCTCATCCCATCTCATGTTTTCTCTCCCTTCCTCAGCTCTTCTCAGCTGATCACAGCTGTTCTCTTCTCATCTCATGTCATCTGAGCTTTTCTCATCTTTCCTCAGCACATCAGCTCGAAGTCAACCTGCTCTCTTGTGGTATTTCGTGCTTGTTCATCTCATGTCAAAGCTTGTCTTAGCTCTCATCTGACTTTTCTCTTCCACGTGCCATTCAATCTCTTTCCCATCCCAACGAGACACCGCAGCAGCTTTTTCCATGCGGACGACAAGAAAAGTTCAGCGTAGGTGTAAGCGCGGTCTGCAACGACGCACGCAGTCAGGCGGTTGATTGCGCGGTCCACAACGACACAATTGAGAAAACCTGCTCACAAATCACTGTCGCAGCCTTTGATGCAGCCACTCCAATACGATTTACGATGTCCAGCTGCAAAAGACACAAGTATTGCACCAAGCAACCTTGACGCCTTGACGCAGCCATTACAGTGCGATCTGCAGACATTGCGAAACACAACAGAACTACGCTCAAGAACGTCGGCAAAACGACGCTTGAACTGGCAGTTACATTGCGCGGCCGATCCGACCATGCTCCGAGCATAGCCGAGACTGTTCCGCAGCTGCCCGCAGGACAAGCTTCCCCACCCATCTTCCGGGACAGGTTTTGTCCTGCCAAGCACAGCCTTTCGTACATCCGCTAACTTTCAAAAATGCATTTCGTGCGAGACTTCCCTCAAAAAGTGAGAGTGGAAGATGTGAAAACGACGCTTTCGTGCGAGGCTTCCCTTTGCTGTGACATGTGCTTGCTGTGAGATCTCTTTGCTGTGAGATGTCTTTGCTGTGACAAGATCTCTTTGCTGTGAGATCTCTTTGCTTTAACATCCCTTTGCTCTGACATCCCTTTGACCTGACATCCCCTTTGCTTTGACATCCCTTTGCTCTGACACTCTTTGCTCTCACATCTCTTTGCTTTGACATCCCTTTGCTCTGACATCCCTTTGCTTTGACATCCCTTTGCTCTGACATCCCTTTGCTCTGAAATCTCTTTGCTCTGACATCCCTTTGCTTTGACATCCCTTTCTCACATCTCTTTGCTCTCACATCTCTTTGCTTTGACATCCCTTTGCTCTGACATCCCTTTGCTCTGAAATCTCTTTGCTCTGACATATCTTTGCTCTGACATCCCTTTGCTTTGACACATCCCTTTGCTTTGACGTCCCTTTGCCCTGACACCCCTTTGCTTTAACATCACTGTGCTATGCTTTTCAAACGTCCGTCACACGGAAGTATAGACTTCTGAACTTCCTTTCAATATGCCAGGGTTGGTTGATGTCAATTGCATCAGTGAATATAAACTCATGGATAGATGTCCATCCAAAAAAAACTCTTGGTACCCAACACTTGTGAGTAGGATTGTACCATGAGAAAATCGGGATTTTAAATGATTTCACCCTCCAAAAAATGGAAATCATCAATCCCCAGTTCTTAATATATCTCCACTACCAGCATCCACCAGCTATTCTTCATGCACTGGTCCCACGGCATGCGGAAAAACAAGCAATCTGCACGTTTCCGTTTTTTCACAAGGCCCTGCTCCGGTCAGGGTTGTAGTATCCACCACTCACCGCGTCAGGTGACAGGGCCAACCATGCACACCTCGAGTAGCTGTTGTGGTTGCTGGATGGTCCGTAACCAATTTCAATGGAGGTTTCCATAGTCATGGGAAATCCCCAATAGCTGGATGGTTTATATTTAATGGAAAGTCCTATTAAAATGGATGTGTTGGGCCATTGGGGGTAGCACCATTCTAGGTTTCCTCCAAATTCTGGTGCCAGGTGGTGTGTCATACTCTACTTAGTTGGCTTACATGGTCAATCTTGGATATTTTTTTTATAAAAAAGTAAACTTTTGCTGGTTATCGTGATGTTCCATTCATAGCAAAAAAAAAAAAGGATTAAACTACAGGTCCAAGATTGGGGATGTTTAGTTAACTTATTGTTGCGTTTAGGTCATGAAATAACTGTCGTTAATGGGGTTTATAAACCAACAAACATATCTGGGGGCACCTTCTGTGTTTGGGGATTTGTCATGGATGACTCTGGATAGTGATAGTTTCAATTTTGGTATGGGTCAAATATCAGAGCCAGGGAGTCATAAAAATATATAAAAAATCAGATGTTTTTTTGCTTACCCTCCAGTAGTCAAACATGGCAATCCTATACATGGAGGTTTTGTTCGCTGCGAAAATCATCCAACTGCCCTCTGGAAATGACAAACAGTTTGCGACATAGAAAATGGCCCATAGAGATAGTGGATTTACCTATTCAAAAAAATGTGATTTTCTAGAGCTTTTTGTATGTTCTCCAGAGGGTAAATGGGCGATAAAATCTAGGGTGAGTATTCAGCCCGGCAACCACCCAATTTCTGGCGTCGCCAATGGTTGCGTAAGCAGGGGCCGGTGATGTTCACCCAGAATTCAGAAAACGCTCCCAAGTGATGAAAAAAAGCGGCTTCGAAAAAACATATTGGTATACATACATTAATCATCATCTATATAATCATCATCTATATAATCATCATTAATCATTTGCATACATTAATCATCATCTATATATATATATATACATGTTCACTATCTATAACTATCATGTGCTAAACTCTATTCGTAGCACTGGTTCCCGAACTTCTGATTTCTTGGATACCCCTTGCTCAGCTCGCCGCTCTCACCACTGGATAGTTCATCAATTCAAAGTATATAAACTAGAGACTAGAGTCCTAAAATAGGGATACCCCAAATCATCCAAATTTGAACAAATATATATATATATATATTTTTTTTTTCAGATTATTTCAGTATTGAAGCCATGGTGATTTAAGGGGATCCCCCAACACGGTTTTTCACCTTGCAGTGGGTGGTTTTGGCTTCCGTAGCCATTTTGGCTCAAGGCTTGGCTTAAGCCCCCTCGCTCGCTCTTTCCCGGGGGTTAGCCATTGCCTTAGCGGGTCCTGCCCGTGTTTGACCCGCGGGCTTGGTGCTCTGGCATTGGACGTCGAGCACTACAAGCCTTTCACCGGAATCTTGGTTAGGGGTCAACCAACATAAAACCCTGTCTTTACGGCTCTCTGCTGCAGTTCGATCTGCCACTGACCGTTATTTCATTTTTCATTTGATTTACCTCTGCTGCAGTTGAATCTGCCACTGGTTCCAATTCATTTCATCCGGTTTGGTAATTTGATTTTTCTGGTTTGGTCTAGCTGCATTTCGCCTACACCTGCTGGATTTATTCTACTTCCTTGTGTTCATCTTCAAACTCGGGCTTGCACTGGTTGATTTTCCTGGTCTCCCCTCGTTTTTTATTTTTGGTGTTCACCTTGGACTTTGTGCACTTTGTGAATGCGGCTTTTGCTGATCTTTGTCTTGATCCTCGACTTTCTGAACCACGGCTTCAACCTTGACGGCATCGAAGCGCAGGAAACAGAGGAGGCAGAGAGCGTTAGCCCGTGCGCGCTGGCATTGGCACCGGAAGGGTGTAGCACCACTGACAAGTGCTCAGCTGCGAAGCCTTTTGGTGACTTTGAACAGCCATCATACAAGAGATCAACATTTTCTCAGGAAGATCATGGAGCAGTTAGAATCCTACGCCTGGAAATGTCCCTGCGGAAGGCTCTGCGGGAAACGCCATATACATGGCCCCGATTGTCAACGGCACTGGGGACAAGGAACTCCGCATTCGAATCAGCCCAAGAGCCCCAGGGGCCAAGCCAACCAGCAGAGCAGCAGCTGGTCCTGGGATTGGACAGAGGATCAACCAAGGCGTGGACGAGGAGCCAAGAAGAACTCCAACACATCGGCTTGGACGAGAAGTGCCAGTGCAAGGGCACGTGCAAACAAGGGCAAAGGCAAGGCCAAGGGCCGTGGCTCACAGGCAGATCTTCCCTCGCCCTTTGCTCAGCCGACAGCACCTTGGCCTACGAACGAAACCAGCCACAATTTTCCTCCGCCCTTTCCACAGCAACATCCTGGTCCAGCGCAAGTGCATCAGCCTTCAGATGGATACGATGCCGAGCTGGTTCTTGCCGTGAAGGAACAGTACCCAGATATTTCCAAGGCACCTTTGCGCATTCAGCATGCGGTCGCCAAGGCAGAACGCACGACACCCAAACAGCTGCAGACAGGGCTGCACAAGACTTCACATGCTGTGGGTGGCGCAGCAAAGGAGCTCAAGAATCTGAAAGATGCCAAGATCAAGCACAGGGAGCGTTGGTTGAAGCACCTGCACGACTCTGTCCAGAGCTGGGAGTCGTAGCTCAAGCTCTATACGGAGCAGCAGAACAACTACAATGTGCTGATCAAGAAGGCCAAGCAAGAGCTCAACATTGCCAGGCAGACTTTGGAGGATTTGAACAAGAAGGCTGCAGGGCACGACGATGCCGATCAGGAAGCTGCAGAGCAGGAGGAACAGACGCAGGTGGACGCAGAGGTCACGACTATGGTCCAACAAGTCCAACAACTACTGCAGGCCTGCGCCAAGGCAGCGATCAAGGAAGAGGTCATGGAGGTGTCAGACGCAGAGGAGGCTCTCGCTACACCTGCTCCCAAGCGACCAAGATCTATGGAGCCCTTTGGTGGTGGTGGTGCCTCAGCCACCACGCCAGCACAAGCAGCTGGTATGTGAGTGGCGGCAGCGACACTTCATGTCCTTATTCTGTGAATGATTGTCGTGTGCCACCCCTCTCAAAGGACGCACTTGACCTCAGACCTGATGCCTATCATTTAGAGCCTGGCTCTTTTGGTGCAGCATGGTCTGTTGGAGTGCCACCGTCCTTTACAACATCACTTACGGCTTGCCATAGCGCTATTTGGGATCCCAGTATCTTCTTTGTGGACACCTTTGCAGCATTGGGGAACGCAATGATCCTGCGAGGAGAGTTGATTTTGACCGCAAACCCCTCGTCTTGGGCATCAGCCTCAACCCCTGCTCTTTCTGAACACAAAACTATCCTTTCGAAAGGTTCCAAAAAGGCCACTTCTTTGTCGGTTCGATTTTCCAATGTCATTGAGTATGTCGACCCTATGGGTGAGACTGGCTTTGATGAGATGAGCTTGATGGCACGGCAGGCCTCCGCTCAAACTTCACCCAGTACGCCAACGGTTGACTCGGACTTTGAAGTGCATCCACCATCCTCACCTACATCTTTCGATGGAGACCGCCTTTGGACTTCAGTGCAGGTTTTCGACATGCATCGTAACCACGCCAGAGGCCGAGTTCAAATCCAACCACCAGAAGCTACCTTTGCAGAGATGCGCAGATTGCTGGGGTTTGGTCACCACGAGGTAGCAGAGATTTTCCAAATCACTCCCTCACCTGGTGATTTGAGCTTTGCGCACATCAGCCCCATGCTCATTCTCTGCCATGACGACCTGTATCATGGAGATGACCGAAAGGCCGTCCTGATTGACTTGGAACTACATGGTGAGACTAGTGAGTCGATCGTTGAGACTGATCGTTACACCACTTTTCTGCCAGCCTTTGTGCATCGTGACCTCTTGCTCCGCATTGCTGGTGTTGCTGCTTTTTGTACCCTTCAAGCGGATCGTTGTCTCGTTTGGCACAAAGGTGAACTTGTTCCTCGACAAAGTAGAGCACTTCTGCAAGTACATCATGGAGATTATTTCAGGATTGCTGCTCCCCCCTTTGAGAATCCCTCGATTCCTTCCCATTTTGCAGTTCGGGCTTGTCAAGCTGGACTTGGACGTGAACAATTGATTCATCACTTCCATACACATGGTCCAGATGAAGATAGTTTTCACACTGCTGCTGAGGAAGAACAGGATATTGCGACTGGAGATTATCTGGAGGAAGTTTTGGACCAGGTTGAGATCAACACATCCATCAACAATCTGGTCGCTCTCTTTGGGGATGAGCAAAGCACGTTGCAAACCTCATTCCGTGCTATCCCAGATTTTCTTGCTACCTCACCTCCTGAAATGCCGTTTGAGCTGGACAAATGTAGCTTCACGGAGGAATTCCTTCAGGCCATTCGGGTTCGAGAGCAAGCCCAGGAATTTGCCCAAGATGCACCACCTGTTCTGCCTGACATTCGCACACAGCCACTGTTTGTGCAGCAACTTCATGAAGCAGCACTCAGTAGCGCTAGCCCACCGCAAGCGGGGGAATCTTTTGGCAGGATTGAGAGTTGGTACATCGACCAACAACGTCATCGGCGATGTCACCATACGAGGATTGTGGAGCTGGGGCCTGACTTCCGCACTTGGGAGCAGCAGCTACGTCTTGAGTGGATTGACCACATTGACACCAACATGCCAGTTGAGTTCTTCATCGTGCAACCGACACCCGAAGATGCAGACCCGACAACTCTGTCTCAGGTTTTGTTAGTGCAAAGAGCCGATGATCAACAACGCACTATTGTGCTTTCAATTTATGATGCCGCCTATGACAATGGGCAGGCGCATTCCCATGCCGTGGTTGTACCTCATCGAGTTGACCTACGAGCCTCTATTGAGATCGCTGACTTTGTGGAACATTGTCCTCCCATTGCTCCAGCAAATGATTGTCAGCTCTGGTATGGATCCCTGCTGATTCCTGCACATCAACAAATCATTGTGAGGCATGGATTCGCGCTCCGATTGACAGTGCGACGACCACTGGAAATTGATGTTCGGGCTTTGCAATCTCTACCCACTGAGGAGCAACGGAGGATCTTGTCACAAGCACTTCTTGATGCGGAGCAATTCCCACCTGCGACCACCACTTCAACTGATGAGCTTTGGCAACCTGACTGGGTCAACGACCTTGAGACAGCCTTTCACCAAGTTGCGCATGCCGATCTGAGGAATGAAGGCTCCTTTGCATTTGTAATGACTTGGTACCTCAACGGCCACTCTGGTACTCGAAATGCTTCACCACGGAGGGTGCGAATTGGGGCCTCGATCAACACTTGGGAGCAGGTCCTGCAAGAAGCCTGGAGAGACAGAGTAGACCCTCAACGGCCACTCTTCTTTCACTTCGTTGATCCCAGACCTCCGGGATCGGGTGCGGAGCGCTTTGCCGGCCATATTTTATTGGTGCAGCAACCCATCTCTAACTATGCGGCAATTCTCCTTTCCACGTTGTACCCACCTGATGTGAGAGAAGAAACCCAACATCTTGCTGTTTACACATTGAACCGACTTCATGCGAACTCGGCCATTGCGCTCTCCTTGTTGCCTACTGGATTGCAAGATCGCAATGTTATTGTTCGGCGAGGGAACCAGATCTTTCCTCTTGAAGGAGCACCCAGGGTTGGTGACGGGGACTGCATTGTAGTTGAGGTTTTACCGATCGCTGCACATGATGACGGGCAAGATGACAGCTCGTGGCTCCAAACTGAGTTCAGCAAGACCTTTACTCAAGTTCCCTCCTTTCTCAAGAGCGCCTCTTTCGACCATCAGTTGAAACTGGACGGCTATGTGGAGCCACCTTGTCTACCCACAGTGAGCATCAGCGGCACCGACACCCCAGACACTCATATGGTGTACTTACCTGAGGGATTGTTTGGAATGCGGGAAGCCTTCTCCCTCAATGCTGCCACTGCACACGAGGAGCAAGGACCTGTTGCCACAGTAGACACTTGGTTCCTCAGTGGAGCACGGCCGTATGTTACTGAACAGTCAAGAGCCCTTGAATTGGACCAGGACATTGTGGACTGGGAACCTCGGCTTCGGAATCTTTGGAGGGACACCATCGACTGGACCCAACCTCTCCGTTACTATTGGGTACAGCCCGAGCCCATTGTTCTCCTTACACGCCACCGACTTGGTCATCTTCTCATTGTCCAGTCTATTGTGTCTCCTTTGGTACCAGTACATCTCACCCTTCTCTTTGCGGGAAGAGGACGAGAGCGGTTTGGGTTTGCTGCTGCCCTTCTTGACAACCCTGTGCGGGTAGGGCCCACTCGAGACCTGCTTCAACTTGCCCGAGTATGTCTTGCCAGACATTGCACGCTGCGTTTTGGCAGACACACCTGGAACCCACAGGACCATTTGGAGGTCCCACCTGGCGCTGGGCTTGAATTCCTTGTAGGCCAACCGGATGAACATCTTGGGGACGAACATGTCGAGCCACTGGAGCCTGCCCATCCGCCAATTGACCAACAGATACAGTTTATTCAAGATCTGTATGGTTCCTGGCTGGAGCTTGCCACTGATGGACCAGGTGGAATGGAGGCAATTCTGAAAGTAGAAACATGGTACCTGGAAGGTGGCTACATCAGACACAACGATGAGCAACGACAGGTTGTGCTGGGAGAAGATTATTGGGAGTGGGAGGCCGCCTTGCAAAGACGCTGGAGAGATCTCATCAATCCTGATCTTGAGGTCGACTATGTGGTGGTCTCGCCCGCACCAGCCACGGCCAACAATCTGCTCGAGGTTCACATCATTCTTCACCAACTCACGAGGCCCTTTGAATGTCCTAGCATCGTCACCACCTATGACAATGGCGTTCTCCGAGGGCACCCTTATACTGCTGCTCTCTACTTGCCAGCAGCTGTGCGAAGAGATGATGTTATCCGTCACACAGGAAAAACACTTTTCTGCCCGCCACACAAACCTACTACGGTTTGCACCTGTTGGCATGGCGGAATTGAAATCCCTGATCAACAACGCTTTCCGAACAGGAATGGATTCTCGTTTATGCTTATTGTCAATCGAGTGTTGCCAACGGACTTTTGGGAAGATCGCTTTGAGGAGGAGATCCAAGCTGACTCCACGGCTGCCTCGAGCGGTCAAAGAGCTCCTGCATCTCCGGCCGCTGCAACAAGGGAGCGCCAAACAACTGGGCAGGTGGCTCATACCCAGTGGCTCCCTGCGGCGCAGGACGGAAGTCAGCAGCGGGTTGATCTTCATAACTCGATTGTCGCTTTCGAGGAGTTTGACACCCACTTTATTTTGCCAAAGCTGGATCTGTATGCAGTACCAGACTCACATCCTGCTCACCCTTGGCTATGGAATTGGTGGGATTTTGCCACGCCCGGTGACGAGCTCTGGATCTATTACGATGGATCAGCTCAACAAATTGATGGTGAACCCTCTGCTAGTGCAGCCGCAGCAGCCTTCCTGCGTGTAGGCCACTGCTGGTATTTTGCAGGAGCGACCAGTACTCCCTTGCCAATGGCATCAGATTCGTACACGGCAGAGCACTTTGCCTCTGCTATCAGCATCAAAATGGCCTACGACATCCTGAAGCTCCACGAGGCAATTGGTGCTGCTCCACCCGACCTCTGTTTCTGTTTCGACTCTCTTACCGTGGGGAGCCAAACTGCGGGACTATGGCATTGTTTTCGTCATGCCACCCTGGGAGCGGTTCTGCGCAATCTCCATCGACTGATTGAGACAAGGTTTGACCCCACGATCCAGCATTGGCATGTCAGAGGTCACTCTGGACACCCGGGCAATGAGCTTGTTGACCTCCTCGCCCAGCATGCTCATTCTCGTCCCACTACTTCAATTACGAATTGGTTAGATGGGCTCAATACACAGACATTCAAAGCAAACTCGGATTGGTTCTGGATACTGTTTGACCAGGAATTCCTGCCTTTCTGGCACCAACATCAGCTGCAGTTTTGCAAGCCTTCCTCTGAGCCTACACTGCAGGTGCTTGGAGGTCTTGATTCAGAAAATGCAGACGAACTAGATCCTTCACCTGTCCAATTTCATTTTAGATTGGCCACTTGCAATGTTCTCTCCCTTTGCGGCCAACGAGATGAGGTCGAAGGTGGACTTCGGGGGCCAGCCAGGCAACAAATGCTGCTTCAGCAACTGATGGAGGAGCGCATCACCATTTTTGCGCTACAAGAAACGCGTCTTCGGCGACTTCATCAAAGCTACTCTGATGATTATTTCCTTTTCCGAGCTTGCGCATCTGAGCAGGGACATTTTGGCATCATGGTGGGCATTGCCAAGCACCTTTCTTTTGCAACTATGTCGGCCCCGGGCTCTCAAGTGGTACGCAAGATTCGGTTTAAGGAGGATCACTTGGCCATTGTTCATCAGGAGCCACGAATTATGATTCTGCGAGTGATGACGGATGCGATCCGTTTCTTGGTTGTGGCAGGCCATGCACCGCACACTGGCCAAAGCATCTCGGAGATCGAGAACTGGTGGAACGACCTCTCAGGTTACATCCCCAAAGCATATCAGGATTGGCCTTGTGTATTGCTTGCGGATGCCAATGCTTCGGTGGGACATCACCCCAACTCCGCTATTGGAGATTATCAAGCTGGGCCATTTGAAGAGAAAGCGGAAGCCTTTGAGAACTTTGTGCATAGACACCAACTCTGGCTGCCCGCTACATTTGAAACTTGTCAGAAAGGCCCTGGCGACACTTGGACTCACACAGGAGGAAAAACCCGGCGCATCGACTATGTTGGCCTTCCACAAGTTTGGTCGCTTGAACATTGTGAAGCTTGGGTTAGCTCGATCATTGACCCTTCCATCACAGCCACAGATCATGCTGCGGCTTGTGTCGACCTACGCTTTTCAGGTTTTTCCGCATCGAAGAAGCAGGCACCCAAAAGCCGCAAGATGAATGAGCTCAACCTCAAGGGATGTGATTTGCAAGCTCTTCGACATTGTGACTTTGTGCCTTCCTGCACTGATGTCCACACCCATGCAGCGCAATTACAAGATCATCTCCTGGACATTCTGCAACCCCAGTGTCAAAAAGAATTGAAACGACCCAAGAAGACAACACTCTCGGAAGAAACCTGGCTGGTAGTTCTGCAGAAGAGAGAAGCGCGGAAACACTTGGCAGATCTCAACCAGAGACAGAGGCTTGATCTTCTTGGTGCTTTATTTCATGGATGGAAAGATGGCAGTGAGGTTGCGTTAGATCTCAGGTTGGGCTTCAATTCGTTGCTCTCCATGCAAGACAAGCTGATCGCCAAGGCTCTTGCTGATTACAAGCAATTGGGAAGACAAGCAGTTAGCCTCTTGAGACGAGATGACATTCTCTTCTACCAATCTTTGCTTGCAGATGGAGCTGATTTCCTGGAACACAAAGACGTGAAAAAGTTTTGGGCGGTTATCAGGCGATCTCTGCCTCGTTTCAAACAAAGACGAGCACACCCCCCACCGTTGCAACTTGAAGCCCTGGAAGGACAGATAGTCCCACACCTCCAAGAGCTGGAAATGGGAGACCTCACGCATGAAGGAGATCTCTTGCAATCTTGCCACCAGAGACAACTGACTGTGATGCAACAGCTTGAAGGGAGCGTTGTCTCCGCTGAGACACTACCATCTTTGACCAGCTTTGAGTCATCCTTGCGATCCACCACTCCGAATCGTGCCACAGGCCTGGATTTGGTCCCTTCGGGGATACACCATGACCATGCACCGGCAATCGCGAGATTTTACTATTCTTTGCTGCTCAAAATTCACATGTGGTGTGCAGAGCCCCTTCAATTCAAGGGAGGCGTTATGTGCCTTATTCACAAGAAGGGCAACCTTGTGGAAGCGCGCAATTACAGAGGGATCCTGCTTTTGGCTTCCATCGCCAAGCGCATCCACAGCATGATGAGGGCATCTCTGATGAGTACTTTGTCGCCGCATCGAGCGGAGGGACAATTAGGTGGGTTCGAAGGACAGGTGGTCCAATTTGGGTTTCATGCTGTCACAACATGGACCCACATCTTGGATACCAAAGGCTATAGCACTGCAGTTCTTTACCTTGATCTTGCTAGCGCCTTTCACCATCTTGTACGTGAATTTGCTCTCGGAGTATCGAATGAGGCGGACTTTGTTCGAGTCCTGACTGACTTGCAGTCCGCAGGACACCCTGTTGATGCTGCCCGCCATGGACATCGATTCATTGGCATTTTGGAGCAGTATGGCTGTGATGAAAGACTCCTCCACCTTTTCCGTGATATTCATGCTGATACATGGTTCACGGTATCCAAACAGGAGATCATCCGCACAAAGCGAGGGACCCGACCTGGCTCGCCTTTGGCTGACGCTGTTTTCCATTTAGCCATGTCACAGATTATGAGGGAGGTGCGAGGCTGGATTGTGGAACAGACCGCTTTCAAGCGCATCCTGGACCAACATGATCTACCAGCTTTGACTATTATCTGGGCTGGTGATGTTGCGATCCCTTGGGTCTCAGCTGATGCGGTTACCATGGTCCCTGAACTTTGCAGTCTGGTTCAACAAGTTGAACACACATTTGCCAAGAATGGCTTTACTATCAATTTTGAGCTCAACAAGACCAATGCTGTCATCAGCTTTCAAGGCAAAGCGGCTCCCGCTATGCGCAAGGAATTCCTTTTGATTGAGCGCCCTGGAGTGGACTGTCGTTTACGTTCTGGGAGAGAGGTTTGGCTTCACTTCCGGCCGACATACAAACACTTGGGCTACACGTATGCGGCCACACAATCTCTTGATGTTGAGCTTCGACAGCGCATTGGCAATGCGGCCCAGGCGATGGCTACCTTGGGTAGACCCGTTTTGATGAACCGGCACTATCCTGTGGAGGTGCGCCTACGCCTTTTTAAGGCGTTAGTGGCCACAAAGCTCTTCTATGGCTTGGGTACGTGGAGAACACCTACAGTGCGACAATTGCAAACTCTGCGGAAAGCCTACATGAGCTTCCTCCGGAAGGTTTTGCGATTGCCACATGATGCTCACTTTTCCAATGCCAGAGTTCTTGCTATGGCGAAAACTGTCGATGTGCGTATCCTCCTTGCTCTTGACCGTCTGAGTTACGCGAGGAAGGTTTTCACGATTGGGCCTGACTTTCTCCAGCACCTTCTGCATGTTGACAGTGGTGGATCAGAGGACTCCTGGTTACATGGCCTTGCAAGTGATTTGCGGTGGCTCAACTCGGTTGCACCTGGCAGCGCCCCCTTCTCGGACTCCTTTGACTTCACGGCGGTCATTGATTTTTGGCAGGTTCGACATTTGCCGTGGAAGCGGATCCTCAAGAAGGCATGGACACTTTGCACAACCCAGGAGTACATGATGTCCGACCTGCATGAATTGAGTGCGACTTTCTTTGAAATCCTCAAGGGAGCAGGGGCTGAATTTGATCCGGACTTTGCTATGGTTCAGGACATTGCCAGAGCTGAAACACACAAGTGTGCGTGTGGCCGCAGCTTCTCATCGGCGCAAGGCTTAGCCCTTCATAGGGTTAAAGCCCACCAGCAGTATGCCCCTGAACACAACTTTGTCTGCGGGGCGACTTGCCCCCACTGCCTTCGCTTCTTTTGGTCGAGCGCTAGGCTTCAGCAACACTTAGCGTATATCCCTCGACGGGGAGGGGGCAACGTGTGCTTCCAGGCACTCTCAGCTCGTGGATATTCCACAGACTACATCTCGGCCAAGGTCCCTTCCTCCTCACAAGGTACAGTACGGATGGATTCGCTTCCAACGATGGGACCTTGCGGGCAATTTATACCAGCCAGACAGGTTGAAATTGCAGAGGTGGAGGAACAAATCCAAGACCTTGAGGCGGAACTTCTTGTGAAGGTGCAGCCGGACGACCATCTCTCACAAGGGCAAGCACTATGTGAACGTTTATCCCGATGCACGGAGATCTGGATTGATCGGTTTCGCGGTGGACGTGAAATTCCTGCCCACCTCCCTGATCTTGGAGATTGGTGGATGAGGCTGCTTTTCACCTTCGACCCTCAATTTGAGGAGTGGACGGAGCTGGTTTTTCTTTCCTGGGGCTCACACATTCTTCCTGACATCATTGCTAATGTTTTGGATGGAGAGATTGAGTTCCAGGTGGAGCAGATCTATTATGATATTTATTCAGTTCTCCCTCGCACCGAATGCCAGACCCGGCTTGATCTGGCCAGGCAGCGGCTACGAAGATTACAGGAAGAGCTTGGAGCCCCGCCGGGACCCCACAGACCACGCAGGATGGGTACGGCCAATGTCAGGGAAAGGCGAGCCACAGCTCAGAGGGTGCCTTCATCTTTTGGACAGCACGCTGAATGGCTGAACCACCTCAGACAGGTTAAGTGGAGAACTTTGCCGCCTGATGGGGCCACGCCACTTTTTGGCGGTGTACAAGGTCAGCGCCATTTCCTGTTTGTGCACCTCTTTTCCGGTAGAAGGCGAGAAGGCGACTTTCACGCCTGTGTCGCGGCATGGGCGGAGCGCCACAACCACCTGGCCACTATCCTCTCTATGGATACAGCCAATTCCGTCACCATGGGCAACCTGCAGATGCGGTCGGCTTCCTGGACGGAACTTTTGGCGTGCTACAAGAGGGGCCTGGTCACAGCCACTTTAGCTGGCACGCCATGCGAGACGTTCTCAGAGGCGAGGCATCAACAAGACCCCTCTGAAGATCCTGGAAAGGGTCAACATGGACGTCTGCCCAGACCTCTTCGGTCCTGGGAGAGGCTGCTTGGCCTGGAAGGGCTGACCCGGAAAGAGACAGCCCAGCTGCATGTGGGCAGCGCATTCTTTTTGCAGGGCACAGTTTTGATTGCATATCAGGTGATTAGTGGTGGATATTTCATTAGCGAGCACCCGGCGCCACCGATGGACGATTCACGAGCCTCCATCTGGTCGTCACCATGGATGACTCTACTCCGAAGCCACCCTGATATTCACCTTCATGTGGTACCTCAATGGAAGTTCGGCGCTACGGTGCCGAAGCCCACTGGACTCCTTGCACTTCGGCTGCCGTTCTTCATCCGATCATTGTTTCGACATGCCGATCACACTCTGGTGAAGCCCAAAGCGGTTGCGATAGGCAAGGACGCGGAGGGGAATTTCCGCACTAGTTGCCACAAAGAGTATCCTGCGCGTTTCAGCGCGGGACTGGCTCGTGCCGTCACAGATCAGCTGGAACAGGACCTTCGACTTGGTCGAGTTGCTTCTCCCAACGATTGCCCTGATTCCTTGTACAGTTGGATTCGTGAAGCTGAAGAAGCGTGTAGCAGCATTCGCCGAAGTGCCTGCTGGCTCCCAGACTTCCAGCCCGAATTGAGCTGATCTGTTTTTGACATTTAATTAGAGAGCGTTGCATGGGCAGCAAGGGCGTGTACCCTTTTGAGCCTGAAAGTGAGAAAGTGAAAGTGGGTGGTTTTGGGCGTAGTTTTGGGCGTTTTGGGATGGTGTTCTTGAACCCCGCTTGGATCGTGATGATTCAAATTCCAAAGAAATTCCAATGGCAAATCTCGTAATCTCAGAAATGCCATAGAAATACTCCAAATAGAATACACATGAATCAACAATCATGTTAGCTACGAATCATCTGAAATGGGTATGGGTCAATACCTATAGATACATTTGTAGTGGGATGAACATCCATTTACCAGCTATTTGGGGGTTCACGGCACGGTACCAGGGTTTTGACCCATCCCCAAATGAAAACGAAACAGATCCCCTTTTCAGTGCGCTATCCCTTGGGATCCCTTCGAATCCACGCCCATGGCGCCGGACACGTCTCCGCCTTCTTCCACGCTTTTCAACTTGGAATCGCCTGGGAAAGAAACGCGTGGCGCGGCATGTTTCTCCTGGGAGGATTATAGACTATTACCCCCTGGTAAATTAACATAGACCATCATAGACCCTGAAAATCACCTATGTTTAATGGAAACTAGTCTTCCAACCCCAATCTGCCAGGGTCTATGTTAATATACCAGAGGGTATATACTAAGTCTACTAAGTCTAAGATAGTCTAAGTCACAAAATGGAAGGATCAAACATATAACTGGCAATTCCCCGAACGAAATATGTGAATATCCATGGGAAAGTCATCGAAAAATGCGGAAGAATACACGAAAAAAATGGAGGTTGTTGATAGGAAAATCGTCGAAGTTTTTTATGATGGTCCACCAAAGGGTAGTATTGAAATTGCTACATCAAATTTGTCATGTGTTGATGATTTTTATACGGAAGGCGCCATAGTCATATCATATCTCTGGGATCATAGGGGTTTTTCAAGCAGGCAGGAATGGGTGCGTCGGAAAAAAAAAAAAGGTACCCATGGGTATCCTAAAATCCAATGGTTTATCATCATTGTTCCCATTGAACTTTTTTTACAGGCAATTCTGGGTATATGCATGATTGCATGTATACGCCATATTTTCAACCACTCCCAAATATCATATTCTTTCATATTCTTGTTGGTATAGTGAGATTATATCCCATAAAATCTCCTATTCTATCCTTCCCCATTTTCGCTCCATTAGGAAGCCGCACCTCGATATGTTTTCACCATCTCTGTCTCCACGAAGCCGGGCGAACAGGCGACGCAGCAGAGCGTGGGGTGCTGGAGCGCCATCATCTGACAGTAGCGGTTCAAACAGGCCTGGCACTGGAACTTTGGCGAATTTCACCTAGAAGGTTCATGGGGTTCCGGTGAAATTTGGGAAAAGTGTGGAAGATCCCAACTTTTACTCGGAAAATAGATTACAAAATATGGGAGAATCATCGTAGGAAATGGCTGGACATTGGTGGACTATAGAATCCGTATGAATCAATGGATTGCGAACTTTTGGGAGGGCCACGCCTTGGAAAAGCCGTTGGATTGGAGCCAAAATCCCTCCTGTAACTTGGGCAGAGGCACCTCTGCTTGCTCCTGGCTGGCACAGTGAACCTGGGTGCTCCAATTTTTATAGTAAGACAGGGTTTGTCGGAATTGGGATGATAATGGATTATATATTGTTAAAATTTGTTAAAAAAGGGGAAGGGTTACCTATCATGTTCCCAGATTTGGTCGGGATATCTACTACCAGTCACCTCGCAGGACGGTGACAATCTCATGTGTCCCTCCTTTGCTGAAGCTTCATAGGCTTGAATGAAAGCCTGAGGCTGATGCCGATGGAGACTGGGATGATGATGCCTGGAGAATATCGGCATAAGGTTATATAAGTGTCATTGTCAAAATGGTATGGTCATCCTATGTCATCCTTCTTACGACTATGATGGGAATCTTTACAAGGGATGTGTGTATATATATATATACATATCCGTATTGAAGGATTGATCACCTAACATCCTCCCGTATTGCTATATAATCAATCTTTTGACCATGGCACACATTATATAATCGATTATATTATATATATACTGTATATATCTCTGTGTGTGTGATCCATTCATATTGTGACAATACTTGGTTAGGATCAGTACATCGAGTGATTTGCCCAAGATCTAATGCCACAATCTAGCATTGGCAATGAGATTGTTTTTAGCAGTAGTCGGAATATGCGTATACTCTGTGTATGTGTATGTGTGGGTATATGCAACCAGCAAGAATAGTGTAGATTGTTGGCATATGCACGCACAAAAGAAGCAAAGCGAAACGGCTTGACGCAATGGGTGGAATGGATACATTTGATGTTCCCGATTCATAATTATCGTTTGACTTGGAAAGAAGAACCACTAAATGGATGTAGTCATGAATACTGTGGTCCAATAATGGTGTCCATATATAGAACTGTTTTAAGAATGGCAACTGTGGGTTCAATGGGGTAGTTCAAAGGTAGCATTTATTGATACCAAAACAAAATTGCTGAAAAACAATCATCGGACGGCAGCAACTCAACACAAATTGGAAACGAGAGGTGAATCTATATAAATGGGTTTACCTGCTGGACAATCAACCCGAAAGATGTTCTTTACAGAAACCGCAGACTCGTTGCCATTCTTAGATACCCTACAAAAAAAATAAAAAAAAAGTAGCTGGTGGACGTAGATAATCCCATTGATACCAAAAGACTAAAGGATTATATAAACTACCCATCCAGTTGGTTAACCTAGGTTTTTTGTGGTTTTATCTGAAAGATGCTGTTCTTTACCCAACGCAGAGGCGGCCCTTTGCCTCACAGAAGTCCTTCAAGGCCTTTACATCCTCAATGGTTGTGAGGGCACACCGCCGCTCCTGGCCCCCGCGGCCAGAGACTTGTGAATAGGGATTTAAACCTATCAAAATGTTGGACTTAAGCAGCAAAATCAGAGATATAAGATTGGAAGTTTCATCAGATTTAACTGGGCTTCAAATTCTAAGACTTAAACCGTCAACAGGGATTTAACTTGAAGATTGTAACTGTAAGTGCCAGCACCAAGACCCAAATCCCGAGCAGATCTGGAGTTGGGACGGTTACAAATTTGGTGCGTGGCCTGTATCTGCTGGCTCTTATCATCTCTTATCTGGTTGCGTTTACTCAACCTTTTCAACACTGCTGTTCTAGACAGAATTCTTCAACTTCGGGTAAATGGTATCCATGATTTGATGATCATAAATCAGGGATCCATACCCTCTCGAATATGACAAAGCCACCATGTATTACCGGGTAAACGTTTACAGATGTGGAAAATCAATGGTTTCCTAGGAAAATGATCTACAAATGGGTTCCATCGTGTTCCATCATCAAAAATGTCCACAATAATTGGAGAAAATCCATCATTTTGCTGCTTGAGTTCCCCAGTTGATATGATGTTCACATTGACTATATTTAAAAATCACGTCTTGACATTTACAACCATGTCATCCAAATAAGTAGAATAGTTTTAATGTGTATAGGCAGTTGTGATTTTAACTATGTTTATCTATCATTTTAATTATTGTGACCTTAAACTAAAACTAATCAGTGTACTCAATTATTAGTAGATATTTGTAGTTATAATTAGATCATTGTGGTTAACTTTGTTCTTACTATTGGCGTTGATAATTGTAACTAATGGTGTTATAAATATTCTTATTGATACTTATTATATATTGATTATCACCTATTCTTAATTGTAGCTATTATACCACTATTATCATTATTATAGTCATTATTGTTATGTATTATTACTGCTATCGCTATCATTCCTGTTTATCATTATCAGTATTGAAATTATCATGAGTAACTGATATAACTGTGTACTAATCATCGTACTCACCTAATCAGTTAATCATAGTTATATCTATAGTTAGATGATTATCCAAACTATTGCGATTGATAATTACAAATATTGGTGCTATTAACTATTGATATTGATAATTATAATCAAAAAACTATAGTTACTTTAGTTGTACTTTTTTATCAACAACAATACAGTAGTAACAATATCAGATAATCAAGAACAACATGAGCAAACATTAGATATCTACTCACCTAATCAGTATACCTCTTTCCAGATTTTTGGAGCTTTCCAATCCGTGGAGGGTACCCATGTTTTCAATGGGTGGCTTGAAAAATGGAAACATTGGTGGCTTTTAATGGAAAATCCACTGAATTGATGTGGTTTCCATTAATAACCATTATAATGTCGCGAATTCAGATTCCCCGAATACTTATGACCATTATAGGTGAATGCGTATAATATGACAATTATTTTCACCCATTAAAAACCCCATTTCTCCCTCCCTCGATTTCCGCCTCCGCCATCTTCGACAGATTCGCCGCGCCAGCGCCGCTGCTCACGAAGACCAAGCGTCCGTGGGCCCTTTCGTCGAGCCTCGAACATTGGGGGCATGGCCAATCGATGTTTAAAAGGTGGGTATTAACCGATGAAATTCTTGGATTTAGCCAAGAAAATTAGTGAAATTAACCAACTGAAATAATGTTATAACTAATTAATAATATTAATAATAATTGGCATTTAACCAATAACATGGTGATTTGACAAATGAAAATGTGTAATTTGACCAACAAAAATGGTGGAATTAAGCAATAAAAACGGTGGGGTTGCCTACTCGATGGCTCATCCCACTTCGTAAGTCGCTTATAACCGTTATTACCCTAGTTATAACTGAATGAAGCCTACTGATCCCACTTAGAATCAGGGATGCTATTACTTAGTAAGTGGGATGAGCATCAAGTAGGTATGTAACCACAAAAAATGGCGGCATACGGCATAAGAGTATAACCAACAAAAAAAGGAATTTATATGTTTTTTTAGTGACTTAAGATAGCTAAGTTGGTGCAAATAACTCCAATAAATCTTGGGCTCATGGCAATTGTAACTATAGTATTCATGGGGTCTATGAACCAACTGATAACTCGGGGGTTGGCACCTTTTATCCTATCAAATGTCCATTGAAATTCGGGGATAGTTCACAAACGGTATTATCAGTGGTTTTATCGACATTTGCTCAGCTCAATCAAAACTAGTTTTTGGGGACAAATAGCCACCCAACCAGTTTCATCAGAAATTGTTGTCCCTTGTTCAGGGGGTAGATTTTTCACAAACCCATGATCCAACAAACCCTCTGGAAAAATTGGGATTTAACATGATTTGACCAAAACACATGTGGGGATATAAGACCAACCATACTGGGCATGTACCGGGATATTTTAGGATAAAACCAATAATATGATTTCGACTTGGCCAAAAACAAAGGAGGATACCTCAGTTTATGGTAAGCTTTTTGGGTGATGATCAACTGATCAACCCATATGGCAATCACCTCGACTAACCCTTGGATTTCTTCAAATATCGTGCGGATATATGACATACCCTCCGCTAGTTTAACACAGCGGAAAATGGATGGAAATGGCCCATTTTATACATGATTTGCCTATTAGAAATGATGGTCCACAGCTATCTTAAATTACCAGAGGGTTACCAACAAAAAAACATACGTGCAAGGTATATTCACCTACATTTACCCATGGTGACTTTCTCAAATACCCGACCACTTACCAGATAGGGGTTTTATTCATGGTGCATTGGGAAAACCTTGGAGATGGGCTATAGCCACAATAATGGTGCAAAAAAAACAGAAAACACATATGATTGTTGATTTATTTAAGTACCGATGATTCGTCAAATCCATGTTAATATATAGTATATATGATCTAGTTTGGCGAACTTGAAATCCCTGTTCAAAAATTACTGATATCTCATGATCTTGTTTACTCAGCATATCACCTGCAAAACAGCAGTTTTTTCGGAGAGACTGGTAGCTCAGCAGGCTTTGATCTCAGAAAATCGAACCATCACTGGGCGTTTCCATGTCACGTTGTACACTACACCCTTGTCCCAGAAGTAGTTGGGTAGATCCATTCTTGATGTTTTTTCTAGCCGGCAATTTGCGAATTCCCGTCTATGTATACAATTTATTTATTCATTTTATTTATTCATTTTACTTATTTATCTATGTATTTGTGTTTACGAGGCTACTCTTTTTGTATACCAAACGACTTGACCCATCATTTTGGGTACCGAAAAATTTCCGAAAAAGGCCCCTATTGGATTGGACCATTTCCAATAAAACATGGATATATCTGCCATTTTGGACGAACATACCATAATTCCATGTTATAATGTTAGTAAAACAATATAACCATCCATATTTTGATGGTCTATACCGTCTATACCGTCATAAAATTGCTAAGGGGATGGTGGATCCTATTGCTTTACGAACATTAGATGTCAGACTATAACTATTTTCTATAACTACCATAGTGTATTGCACCACCATTTTCAAATTATGGCGCCTTGTTGATACTGCGATGATCCTGTTGGGGCCCCAACTGTTCGGAACGGTTCGTCCTGATGGTTTCGGAAGTTTTTCGACTGTCCTGATCAGTATCTAAAAGTTGTAAGTAGCTGATCAGTATCTGGTTACCTACCAAATACTGCTACGAAAAATAGATACTGATCAGGACAGTACCAAATCTGTACTGTACTACCTGATTCAGTGTCTAACTATGTTTCAGAGCTACTGTTGCTAATTATGATCATCTGGGTAATAGCTAATTATCATTAACCTGATAGTAGCTAATTATCTGGTTTCATAGCGACCCTCTGGCAAACTAACATAGCTGTTGAAAATGCTTATTTAATGGTCATTTATATATAATTAGTTGATTTACCCATCAAAAATGGTGGATCTTTCCATATAAATCACCATTTTCCCATGGTTTTCCCATGGTTTTTGAAGGCTACTTCCTTCCCCCCACAGTCGCCATAGGGTCGCCCAGCGACAGCTCCGGCAACAAGGCCTCCGTCAGACGCATGGCCCCGAAGAGGTTGGTGCCCAGGGTCACCCGAGCGGCCTCGCCGGTGGGGTGGGGTGGATATTGGTTCACCATAGGTTAAGCATCCAAAATATAACCCCCAATATACATACACAACTATCTATGTCTACATTGTATACATATATTATGTATCTGTATATATAAATATATTATAATACTATAGACTATATATTATAGATATATATATATATACCAGCAAAGTCAAGTTTGCAGGAATTCTTACAACTCTCTTGAAATCGTAAAATTTTCTTAGATTCTCGCAACCCTCCGGTTGTCCCCAGGAATTCTCGCAACTCAAGTAAATTCTCGCAACTCTCCTCATTTGTCACATCTTTCCATATTTTTCACATTTCATCCTCATCCAAGAGCTGGCGTCTCAACGACGTTACATACAGGTCATATGCCCGATGAATTGTCATTCTAGGTGAAACTCTTCTGCTAAAACGTGAAATGACCCCCACAAACGACTCGTCAATCTGACAAGCATCTACTAGAGGGTTTTCACACCACTCATGGGTTTCGCTCCATTTCTTTACAAATTTGAAGCTATGGTACAGCATATGTGGTTTGGCATGAAGAGGGAATCTAGGTTCACTTGCCGCCACCGAGAGCTCAGCACAACGATGCTGCGCACGTAGCGCAAGCAAACCCCAGTCACCGATTCGAGAAGCTTCAGAAGAATGAAGCCATGCTCCACAGCGGTACATCATACTCATCAAGGAGTTCATGCTTCGCCTCATATGCTATACATTGGAAAATATATCTGGTAGGGATTTTCTTTCTTTGAGAAACATCAAGCCCAAACCTTAAAATAATTTACTTTAGGCCTGCGAGTCACGTTGCAACTGCAATGAGTGGCACCCGTGAGTCAACTTGCCCCAGTTCGGAAACAAGTTCATCAGTGAGTAGTGCATCTATCCACTCCTGCTATCAGAAAATTGTGGGAAAATGCGGTTAAGGCCTACTGTAAAATGTGGGCCAACTATGAAGGCTTAAAAGAATTAAATTAATTTTATGTCGTCTTTAGATTAAACTAAGTTTGAGGGTCCATGGTTTTATATTTTGAGCTTTGAGGGATTAATCATCATAAGAATTCATCTTAACTTAATCTTTGAAAGTGATGAAATGTTATTTTAATCTTGTGGGTTGTATTAATTAAAGTATTGGTTGTGATGATTTATGATTGTCGTGTAGATTAGATTCAAAGCAAGAAAAGTAACATTAGACAAGTTTCCATCAACAACGTGGTTGTCGACCCCTTTTGCCAACCTCCTTCAGGCCAATCCAGTGCAGATTTGAAGCCCAAACTGTCCCTGCCGATTTTCAGTAGGTAAGGGCGTTCCTTCGGTGTTGGCCAATTTTTTTTGGGATCATTGAATTGGAAGGCTTCAAGTAGACTAAACTACATAAAATCATTCTCAGCATCTTGCAAAAATGTACCATACCTCAAGAAGCATCTTTCCTCATCCGGCAAAATTGCAGCCAAAGGGAGGTCATACTGGAGAATCGGGCCTCGACAGAACCTCCAGGGAATAGAGATGAAAACTGCTGCAACACGACCAGTGATGATGCAACGAAATACCTTCCAGCCCCCAAGTGCCAGTTGTGAAACACATCCGGTCTCAGGATCCATGGTCTGAAATGTGCTTCGGCAGGAAGCTTCAAAATCCAAGGCGACAAGGACTCCCAAGGGGATAGTGCCTCAATTTGGCAAACAAAGCAACAGCAACACATGCGAACAAAGAATTCTTGCACCAAATTGGTTTAGCATATAAATATGCTGAAAATAGATTCAGATTTTAACCCAGCCACTGCTGCACTATACATAGTTTCCTCGAACCGCGGAGCATTGCTCACATCTGTAAATGACACACCATTGTAGCCAGCCATGCAGAGGTGACAAACACCTTCAGCTTCCATTGAGGACTGGCCTCTCTTGGGAGCTCGCCTGAAATGTCTTTGGAGGTGACCAGACTCGATTAAGAACGGCCAATCTCCTTTAATTCCTGTCACCACCAATCTCAGAACCTTAGGATCTTCGCTTGTTCCAACTTCGACACCTTCTCTCATAGCGAGAACCAAGTCATCTGACACCAGTGCCATTCCATCATCAAGTGCACCAGGGTGGTCAGCATAAGTTTCACGAAGCGCAGCAAAAGCCAACCATCGACAAAGTTCCTGAATAGTAGAGCACCCATATGATTATCAACATCAGCAAATGAAGAAATATCACATCTACTAAAATTAAGAATTGGTTAAAGAGAAGAAATTTGGATCGAAATTAGCCAAGGCACTGGTGGCCCAAGCCTACAACAGCTATTCCCAAATACTGAAGGCAATTGATTAAACATTGTTTTAAAATTTACCCATCATACAAAATGTACAAAATTAAAAAACTTACAATACTATGCATGTCAGGTGACATGTTCAAGCGCTGACTGTCTGTTTGCTTCTCAGCAGGCTCCAGAACGGACTTGCTAGTCCCACGGCCAAGCACTGGCCCCCAACTGAGCAGCATGATAGGCGATTTGCGTTTGCCTGCCACGGCAGGTTTCCCAAATGCTATATATAAGATTTAAAAAATTAGAATACATTTTTTTTGGAAAACAACACTTGCAGTTATTGCAGCTGAAAATCTTCTTCCTTCATCACCATGCAATTTAATCGGCACCGCGGTCTCCAGCTGGCATGCTGATAGAACCTGAAAAATTTCATGAGCAGGGTATAGCAAGCGAAACCGTGACCAGTAAGTTCGCAATGCCGCCACAGAGGTTGGCATGTCTTTCTCTGGGAGGATGGCATCAAGGCGGTTCCATCTCGCCAGTGCTTTAACCACATCAGTCGGTTTCAGCCATGGATAACCTGCAGTACGAGCTTAACGCATTTATGTTCCCAATTGTTGAAAAAATATGTTGCACTTAGTTTTGGTGGTTCTAAAAATTTTCCAATGCTGCTAAGTAGCGAGGGTCATCACCAATTTTTCCCAAACTGAAAGGAATTGGTGCCCTGAGACATGCTTCGTCCAAAGCTTTGAAGCACTCCCTTGCCTCAAACATGAATGCAAGCAAAGGAAACATTGAAGAAACATTTTGTAATTTTGGGACCAGCTACATTTTATAATGCAAAATGAAAACGGCAAACTTTTGAGAACCAAGTGCCGCATTCATTGATCCTTTGGCCAACCTCTGCAAAACTGGATCGTGGCGATCAATGCCCAATCGTTTATCATCATCCAATATAGCTTGAGCATGCTCTGCCAGCTGGATCGCCGGTGCCTCAGTAGGACATGTTTTAACTTAATATAAGGTGCACCATGCCTCGTTTAGACATGTTTGAAGATCTAAAACCCATTAAATTGAAGAACGTTAAGTGACAGCTTAAGGGTTGACATACAACCTAGCCAGTGGCATCAAAGCCCTCAAGCTGCGATGGGCGGCGCCTCTTCTATTTAAGTTAATTAAATTAGGCATCTTAACATAAGTAGCGTGTATATGTTTGAGGCCTTATTGTTTGCAATGCTTTAAAGAAGTTGTTTCTTATGGTTGAAGGTCGATTTTTCTCAAATATTACATGTCTTATCTGCACCACTAACCATTTACCAGGATGCATGTTACCTTCAAATTGATCTCTCTTATCATTTCTCAAGATGCCGGTGCGAACAGGCACCCAAAGATCGTTATTAAAAGGTGTGACCTTCATTTAAATTTAATTATATATATTGATAGATTTGACTCTGACTTAAGATTTAAGTGAATTAAGGCCTCCACAATTTAACTTCATTTAACATATGCGACAATTCTTAGCACTGAGGCGCTAATTTTTAAGTTATTAAATTAGTTTACTTAAGGCTTGAAATTTAAAGTATGACTATGATAATTTATCTTTTTGGATGCAGACAAGGTTCTCCTCTTGCAAGGCTGTTTGCGAGGCTCGTAGCAGTGCTGCTGGCCCGAAGATTGCGAGAATGCTTGGAGCGCTTTGCAAAGTTTCCTGGCTTGCACACAGGATAATACCCCCGACCTATGAATTTACAGCAGATGAAATATTAAATATTGCTAACCCCAATGCTCATGCGCAAACAGCACTGCATATTTTTAGGCACGCCGCAGGATCCACAAGTCTAAAGATCCTCGTGAGAACGCACACTCCCGCAGAATGTTTTGCAGGTTGGTGCTTTCAACCCCAATTCACCCCATAAACTATGGTAGAGTACGTCAACTTGATCAAGGGGCTAGGCCTCAGCAAATCTCAAAGGTACCTGTCCTGGAGCACTATGGACGTAAAGCAGGTTTCAAGGTGATCTTAGGTTTCAAAAATATCAAATTGGCTGAATTAATTTATATACATTGATCTCCAGTGGCAGGAGCGAGGCCCCCTAAACCCCAAGACAAGGACTGCACACGCCCGCTATTTCAAGCTGGTAGGTGCCACGAAGTATCATGAAGCTTTTTCCATGGCAAAGCCTGATCAGGACTCAGCCTTTGCCTTGGCCTTGCTCTTGACAGTGCGGCGCTTTGGCTGCGATCGGTTGTCTCCATCATCAGCAGTATCCCCACCAACTTGTCCTGGGTTCGGTGATCGTTTCTTCTTGCACTCAGCCTGAAGGAGCTTAAAGGTATGCTCAGAGGCCATGATTTGCACACACCTTAGATCATAACTACTGGGATCAATTGGAAAAATCAAATATAAAAAGGCGAATTATCCCGGGGTTAACTAAAATATTGCAGAAAATGCATGTCACACCATGGCCCAGGTGCGGCTGGCGAGCAGCATCTTTGGCAATATTGATCTCTTTGACGATCCTGGGGAGGAATGAGAGATTGTTTTTGATTGGGTTTTAATTAATTTGAATTTAAAATTAATTAATAAACGTAATTCAAGATCATATTTAATGATTTTAAATTAATGCAGTCTTTAAATTAATCAAACAATAGTGTCTGAGTTGAAGCCAGGGAGCTGGTCCTCTGGGATCTCATTGGAATCCAATCGGTGCTGAATCTCTGCCAATTTCAGAAAAGCACCCTCGAAGGCAGCAAGCACCGTCTTCATGTCGGTGCAAAACCTGAAGCAGCAAGCATGGAGTGTAAGGGTTAATCAAAAGGGTTAATCAAAATGTCAGGGTTATTCAATTTGAAAATTTGGTACTCGATCAACGTATCATTTCATAAACTATATAGATTATGGGGTTGAACAAATCTCAGGTGCGTTGAGCTAGATTGATTTTATTGGCACATTTCAATCATTTCGGGTGAAGATCTTAATCTCATTTAGTTTAATCTCAGGGGTTATACTTAATGTTTTGCTGCGAAGTAACTTCTTGCATCGCTCATTTGCAGATTCATCAATGGAAGACAACCATGTGACCACTGTGGCTGCCTTCTGATGGACTGAGTCCACAAATTGCTTCAAGTTCTCCTTGGCTTCCAGTGCACCGTTTGCTGGGATTGCACCAATCTTCCCATTTTCGTCTGGCGTCACACCACATATCGATGCAGTCAGCGGCAAATGTTCCATCGGCTTGCTGGGCATGTCCTGGTCCATATCGAAATGTCTCATGTGGCATGGGGGGTTGAATCATATTATGTAAGGATGGTGGCTTATACGCTTAAATAAATTTAAGGTTTGTTTTTGTTAAGCATTAGCAGCTGTCCTTTGGGTTTGCCTCCTCAGTAGCGATGAATCTTTCCAATTCAGCACGCTTCACTTTCACAGTGTCGGCCGTCTCCACAAAGTATTCTGTGATGTTCTGATCGTACTTGAATTTCCTCTGGGACCGAATCAAAGCTGATAGAGACATGATATGTATTAAAAATGGTTGGTTCGTAATGATTTAATATCAATACCAAAGAGGAATCAAACCAAGAAAAGACCCACATATTCTGTTAGTTAAGATATTATATCTTTTTGGTTTTACTCTGATCAAATCTCTCCTCGTCAAAACGCTTGGGAAGCGCATGCAGTAGGTCTTCACCTTCGAAATCAACGTCCTCAGAAAAAATTGCCAGGTGGACGTTGCTGGCAAATTGAAAACATGTGTGTTTTCCTGGGTGCTTCAAAACTGAAAGTTGAATGCAGTCAAAGTGGCGTGGAGTACGACAAGTCCTTCTGCAGTCGTTCCTCCGTATACCAGCCTCCTTCAATTTCTTCTTCCTTTGCCCGCTGCTGTTCTTTCACATGAAGGACTTGCTTCTGAAACTCTGCCTGCAGGGTTGATAATTATTAAATTGAACTTCAACAGCTTAAGATGAATGTTGAGTTGATTATTTACTTAAAGTCGTTCAGCCATATAAAATATAGACCATTTAACATCACTTAAATATGAACTTATGGGTTTTGACCTGCAATCCAGACAAGTAATGAAAAAATAAACATTTAGCAAGACCAGGCCCGCACTTGCTGCCGGGTGCGGTGCGAGTTGTCGAATCCGACTTGTTTCATGCTCCTCACCAGTGCGAGCAATAATTCCTCACGGTTGCCAGATGTCCATTGATCATGGATCGTGGCGTCCACGTTGAGTTTGCCAGCCGGTGTCTTTTGGCAAATCCTTTTCAACCGCATATACAAGGCATGCGGCGTCAGCTCCTGGTCAATGTTTGTAAGCATCGGACCTTGTAAGTTAAGTTACTAAATTCAATTAAATTCATCCATGGCTTTATTTAACATCTTAACTTAATTTAAGCTACCAAAATGCGATCAAAGTGACAGCTACTTTCGCCCTGTCCTCGTGGCTCAAGTCCACCTCCTCGGCCAAATCTTCTTCTCCAAGTTTTAATCCACCTGGCTCTCCTGTTGTCTCTGATGGGGCCGCCACACTGACAGCAGGTGCCTTTTCCACACCGACAGCAGGTGCCTTTTCCACACTGACAGCAGGTGCCTTTGCCACACTGACAGCAGGTGCCTTTGGTGGGGATGGCAAGAGAGAAGGTTGCTTTGGCACAACAGGTGGGCCAGAAGCCGGCAATGGCATCACAAGGCTAGGGGCTGGAGGCAATGCCTTCAGCTGGGGAGGAACAGGCGGCAGCGAAGGTGCTGGTGGAGGCGAAGGGCTTGGGCACAAAGATTCTGTAGATGCCGGAGTGTGCAGCTGCCTCTTCGGTGTAGGTGTCGTGAAGGAATCTTCAGGCTTCTTGGCACCTTCGAGCTTTTCCAAGCGGGCAAGTAGCTCATTGTACTTGTTCTGCCACACTGCAGCATCACCAGTAGAAGCATCCTGCTTGCTCTCCGTGTGACAATCATCCAGTCGAAGCGTCTTTGCATGCAACAAAGCATTCGTGGTGTCATCCTCCTCTGAATCCATGTCAGTGTCTTCATCTGGAATCTCGACCACTCCAACACTGGCCTCAATTGGCATTTAATTTATGTCTGAAAGACGATGGTAACTGATGTAAAAAATATTAGTTAAATTTAAGTTGACATGAGTTATATTTGAGCTTAACTTGTATTTCAGATCACTTTTAAATATCATTTAAGTGAGTTAAAGATGTTAAAAATAGAACTTAAGTTAATTTATTATGTATTATTTTACTTTAAGCGATGACCCTGCCTTGGGCGCATCGTCGCTTGGAGGTTCCACCTTGGCAGCCAGCAAGTCGAGAGGAGCCGGAGTATCACTGCGAGCTGGAGTTGCAATGGGTGCGGCTGGAGGAACTTCCTGGGCAGTCTGGTCCTGGCTGAATCTTCAGAATGGGTTGTATAACCCCATGTCGAAGCTCCCTGAAGTATAATATATACCAGCTTCACTATGTTTTCCAAAATACTTGTGTATCTTGCTTTCGAGAGGGGTCATCAGCTATAGGGAATAGGATGATTGAATACTATATTTTTGTTTTAAATTTGGATCTCAACTCCTGGCCTTGTCACGAGGGCAGAGCTTGTCCATTAGCATGGCTTCTTGTTCCTCATGCTTCACAAAGAGTCATCTTTCCTGAGCATGCGTGATAAAACCAGAACTATTATAAATAGAATCTGTAGTATGCCTGGGTTGCATCAATGTCGATAATGTTTATAGCTTTCGTGGTCATTTGATGGGTTTACGAGGTCTCCCAAAAGATCTAGTAACCAAAGCATTACTAAGTGAGTGAAAAAATCAAATACGAGAGGTGATAATACACGAAAGGGTATGATAACGACCAAAATGATTCATAAATATTAAAAGTAAAAACCCTAAAAGATCACTAAATCAGTTCAGCATCGACAGCAGGCAAATGGGGCTGTAGATCATGGCTCTCGATCATCCCATCTGTTTCCTGCCAGGTGGACAACTAATTATTTATTTTAAATAAATGTTGTGTTTGAGAAAAATTATGTAATTTAAATTATAAAAGGATTAAATGATTTAAAATCAGATAAATCTTGGCACATGATGCTGTGCTGGATTTTAAGCGATGTCAATTAAGTCCTGCAGCAGCTTCTCTAACTCAGAAGCGCTCAGCTCTGAGGTCTCAGTAAGCAACTTGTGCTTCTCTTCAACCACCATGGCATCCAGAGATTGCACAGGCATGGCGTCTACCACTTGTGCGGCTCCTCGGACTAGTTCGGAACAGCTCCAAGATTTGATTTGGAGCCGATTGGCCATTACCACTGGGTCCTAGAAGCCAAAAGTCTACAGGGCATGTGCATTTTCACACAGTTGTACCAATTCATGAGGATATCCCTGCCAAACATTGTTTTTTGCAACCTTGGTTTGATAGTTGGTTACTTTAGCACATGTTTGCGAGATTTGATCAATTAGTGCGCTTCCCAAGTACATTTTAAGATAATTTTTGGACACTATGTGAAATGAAATTCCTGCAATTTCTCCGCCCTTTCTCGCAATTTTTTCTCGCAATCCCTCCGCCTATTCTCGCAACTTCTCCGCCTATTCTCGCAACTTCTCCGCCTCCTTACGTATTTTGAATTTCTCCGTATGTATTTTATAATTTCTCCGGATGTATTTGAATTTCTCCGTATGTAATTGGGCCCTTGGAAGAGTCGTAAGTTTTTTTTGATTTTGTAAGGAAGCCACATGCAGATTGAAAAATGCTCAAATTTCTGTAGGAAATACATTCTTCCACCTTAAAGGCAGTCGAAGATGTATGGATCCCCGTAAATACTTTACAGTGTCTAGAAGCATTGCCTCCGACCAATTGTCTAGCATTGGCATTTGTTGAAACATTTCAACAGCATCCATCTCCACGGAAGTTGCACCAAGAGGAGGGCAGCCAGTAGACCCCTTGCGCAGCTCTGGCAAGAATCGCAGGATACGAAGTCCAAGTGCGATAGGATAGGACCTAGGATGCAGACCCCACAAACAAACGAATCTTAGATGTACTATTCACGACCCTATAGATATCATACTACTGCCTAATGTGAGAAAAAAAACTAAGTCGTTCACTGTGTGCTCTTCAAAGCGCCTTTGATTCCTTGAAATTGAACTTTTCCATTGGCCTTCCTCACCTTTTTCGTGGTTTGCAATGGGCAAAGAGCCCGGGCAGCTTTTCGCAAGATGCCACGGTCCAGAATATGGATAGCGGGATTGTTGCTCCATGCTCGATGCCTTTTCCTGCAGTTGCACACACCAAAAAAAAAATATTTGGTTTAGTTGCCTTCAACCCACTACTATAGGATTTGCTATTCAAAAAAAATGATACTAAAATCCCTTGCAAGTATCGGTGAAAGAGCGCCATAGTGCCTACTCCACCATCCCACACGAAATACCCTCATCCACCGACACGCAAGAAGCCACTCCCATCGTGGGTACCAAATCAGCCGGCTGCTGGCAGGCTGTTCTACCATCCAAGTTCCATTGAGACAAGTGGTGAGAACACACAGAAGAATGCTTCTGCTCAGTAGGGCATTTCCGTCCTCAGGGGAAGGCTAGGTGAGTACAGCTCCAGAAATATTTAAAATTACTATTCTATTTTATGCCCAACTGCTCCTTCACATACTGCAGAGACATCAACCCAAATGGAGTAGTAGGGCTCCGCTTACTTGTAGCGATGTTGATGGCTGAAAAGGACGTGCACACCACAGCCAGCAGAACAAAAAAGCCCAATGGGTCACAGTTCAGCAGCACCCACACCGCCAACCTCTCAGGCAAAAGATATCACGCATTTAAAAAAAATGCCTCATTTACTTTGAAACAAAACATGGTGAACGATCAAAAGTATACAAACAAAAATAAAATAGATATCAAACCAATTCGCGCAACGCAAGTCCAGAAGGCTGCAAAAGATCGAAGGCATTCTGTTTGTGGACCCTTGTAGTCTTTTTCCCATACTCCACATCAAGTTGAGCACATGCTACCATTCCATATTTTGCAGTTCGTCCCACATTGCCGTCACCGGCAAAAAATTCAGCCACTCGAAATGCCTGAGCAGGCGATTGAGTAACATTTTAATCTCTATTGCTTCACATTCAAACCCAATTACTATAGTTAAAGCAGGTTAAAACTATAGAAAAATTAAGCATTCTACCTAATTCCCCCCGGCCTCTGGCACTGCTGGCATACTGCCATGGTAGAAGATCAGGATGATGACCATGACAAATGCCTTCAGGGATTGCCATACGTTATTCCCTTTAATTTCACAACAGTTAAAGCACATTGTATCTTAATATCTTAAAATCAATTAGCAAAGCTTCATTAAGATAATTATCCTGCCTTCGGGGCGGACTTTTTGATCAACCTTATCACCAAATTGTCAAGGTCATGCTCCGTCGGCACAGCATGATGGCGAGGCATAGTTGCAGGGTAGCTTTTAAGGTCACATGTTATTCCATGTTTTTACGAAGAACCATTTTGTTCTTGTTTAATTTTCCTTCAGCATTCATGGACTTAGTGGGCTATAGTATATTATATTTTACTCCTGATTATTTATGGTCACTATCGTGTCTCTTGAGCCAATATTCAATTAGACCAGAAGTATATGCAGCTCAGATGCAGGCTTGCATTAACCCCCATCTACCAATTAATCTAAACATACCAGGATGACCTTCTCTAATCCAAGGCTTCACTGGCGAAGCTCTCTGCAGCACGGCAGCTGGCGAAGCTATCGGCGCTGCAGTGGCTTGGGATCGGCAGCGCGCCGCTCGCTTCACCATACCTGCAGGCGGGGTACTTAAATCTAAAACAATTTAAATTAATATTAATATAAGCTGCTAAGACAAACTGAAGCACCCAAGGTTCTCCAAGGTGGACAAGCGCCATTTTTCCCAACTGGCCAGCAGTTGTAGGCACCATACATCTAGCAGCGGGTATTGTACATGGGCTGCAGACGTAAGCAAAAAGTCAACCCAAAAAGATCGATCGAATGTATGTTGAACTGTTGTGCCTGTGATTTGTTTGTAGTCAATTTAGCATGCAGTTAATTAAAATGTAAAATTAAAATTGCACTTTTGGGTTGATTTCATACTCTGCTCCTGCCACGGTCGCGGTCGCGGTCGCGGTCGCGGTCTCGCTCACGGCCTCGGTCCCTGTCCTTGTCCTTGTCCCTCCTCTCAGTCCTTCGCTTCCGAACTCTTTCTTGCTCAGAATGATGGTCTCCAGACCGAGCACGTCGTTCTGCAATGCCAGGTTCTTCTCCAGGCTCGTCAAGGATCGGCGAGGACTCACGATGAGGAGCTTCAGTTGCTGTGCCACCTGCAGGGTTGAGAAAAATATTATTTCTTATCGATAGAGCCGATCAGTTCTGGGTTAAACTATATTGTGAAACACCGATATACATTTTTCGAAAAGAACTGACCTGCTGGTGGGGGATGAGCAGCTGGGGCCGTAGCGGTCACTCCATGCATTTCCATGTAGCGCATGATCATCATCAGCGCATTTTGAGATTCTGGGGATCCTGGAGTCATGGTGTTCAAGATGCCGAACACAGTAGCCGGGTCAATTGGGTCAGACCCCCGGGATTTTGGAGCCAGCACTGGAGGGGCAGCCCCAGATGCGCCACCAGATGGGGCGGAACCCTCTGGGCCATCACCTGGGTCAGCAGCATTTGCAGCCAGGACATGAGCAGGCGGCGGGATCGAAGGGCTGCGGGGGCGCTTGTCCACGTGCCCATCGCCGTCGCCGGGAGGAGCAGCATCCCTGGTGCCTGCGAGATGTAAGGGGATTAAGATCGGTTAGGGTATCAGGGCTTGCATGAATATGAGGCTTTATTAATTATTATAATTAATATTAAATTATGCTAATACAAATTAATCAATTGAGCTATGACCGCATTCAAACTGCACCTATTAAATTAAAGAAATTCAAAACTTGCCCCATTATATTAATGGAGTTTGACATTTAATAGATTAACTTAAGGCGTTTGATTACATTCTAATTTGCCCCATGCGGGTGAATTATCTTAGAGACTCTGAGGGTTTATCCGTTTGAAGTTAAATCTTAAGGGCAAAAAATATAATCAAACATAATTTCAGCCTAAGAGCGGTGAGGGCATCCTGGCTTCGACGAGGCACCCAGCGTTGAAGAGGCCCTTGGGCCGGTGACAGTCGAAGACTTGGGCGCAGTGGCCGTGGGAGGTGGAGGGCCATGTAGGGGCTCCACAACCACTCGCTCTTCATCTGGCCCAGTGTCCTGAAGGGCAGGAGGTGTTGCAATTAATATAATACGAGTTACCCAGTAAAAAACATGCATGTTTCTGGTAGCATATATGGTCCTCTGAGATTTCATCAGCTACCGCAACCGTAGTCGAAGGCGGGTTCGGCAACCAGATCAGTGCCTGCAACCATTGACCCGCGCCTTGCGCTGACATACCCGGAGGCGATGTTGGCATCAGCTTTGGCCGGGGCGGAACCACAGCTGCAGGCACTGTAGGCCCGGGCATAATCGGCACAGGCCTTCTCCCCTTGCCTCCCTTCTTTCCACCTCCACCAGAGTAGCCACCCTTTCTGCCACCAGCCGCCCATCTCCTTATCAGTTCAGGAGGTTTAAAAAAAAGAATAAAAATATATTTGGGTTACCATGGGTTATCTAACCAATTTTGGAAAGTAGAAAAAATGAAGTCCAGAAGCAAGCTTCCCATCAGTCCCGCCTTTGCCATGATCCCACCCCCAACCATGATGTCCGTGGTATCCACCATGATCGGGGGGTTCACCATCACTTCCAGGGCCATCAGCTTCACCGTTGGGCATCGCGCAGCGTGTGAGCTTCTGAGCCCTAAAGTTGCTCCAGTGCACATGCATGCACAAAAGACCATACGATTTATGAAGTATCACCCATTAAGCTGCCCCAATTTATTGTATCATTTATGAAGTATGATTGTATCACCCATTAAGCTGCCCCAATGATTTATGAAGTTTAGTTGTATCATCCATTAAATTGCCCCAATTAATTTACGAATTGTATCACCGATTAAGCTGCCCCAATTAATTTATGAAATATAATTGTATCCCCCATTAAGCTCCCCCAATCTATTGCTTAAGCCCTGCCCTTCACCTGGCCTCCAGCAAACCAGCGACGCAAGGCGAATTGCACAGCAGCAGCGCATGCGCCAGCGTCAGCGGCATCAGCACCCAAGGCACCTGGCAAGGGGGAAAACACGGCTGCAGTGGCTGGAAGTGATCGCACTCTTTTTTTTCCAGGGGGCCGATCTAGTGTATTAGAGCTCTGGCAGCTAGACTACTCCGGGTCTTTTAGGCGTGCCAAAAACTAGAGTTCAAATTCGAATTATTTAATTTATCTTAAGATTAATTATCATCTCAAAGGTTAAATTATTAAAGTAATCGACTTAAGGTTATGCTGGCACTTGTCTTCAGACCCCTATGTGCAATCTATGCTACATGAACCCCTACAGAGCTCGAGAGTTTTGAAGATCCCAATCTTTGCTAATCCTTTGCGGTCAAAATAGGCTACAGCCCAAGCACTCAGAGATCACCAGCCTAGCAGCATCTACTTTGCCACGAGCTTCACAAACTCCTCCTGGGCCTGAGTGGCACTCAACAACAGCAGCCGGAACAGCTGCAGCGCTTCATCCGTTGAATGCCATTCGGCATCCTTGAGCACCCAGCGCTCGGCCATCTTGTTGCACATGTAGATGTGCACCGCGATACTCGAGTAGCAGTAGCTGAAGTAGAACTTCTGGCTTTCCTTGTCACCCTCCATAATCTTCACTCCGCCTGCAGGACGATTCCAGTAGATACTCACCCAAATCCTCGTTTTTCCTTTCGTGAACTCCTTGTGCATGCTCTCCTTTGTCTTGTCATACGGCTTCTCATGGTACGTGCACATCAAATCCACCATGTCCTGCACCATGCCTGGGTCATATTTTGGATCAGCATCCTTCCTGCCCCGAGGCGCTCTCTTGGCTTTGGCCTTCGCCTTTGCCTTCGGGGATGCTGTGCCAACCTTGCCATTCTGGGTATTCTTCTTCTTGGGTTTGGGCGAGGCAGCAGAGGTAGCATCACCATCCTCATCTTCATTTTTTTGCTTCCTCTTCCTGGATTGCTTGCCCACCCTTTCTTCACCATCACCTTCTGCTTTGCGAGGTCGTCCCTTCGGTTTTGGTTTTGCTGCAGCATTCGCATTCTTTTTGTTTTCTTTCTGAACCTTCTGAAGTTCCTTCTGCTCTTCAGCCTTTCCTTTCTCAGTGGCCCTCATTGTCAGCTGCCTCCTACGGAGATCTTCTGCCTCTGGCACTTCTGCAGCAACATTCAGGTCTGACTGAATTTGCTGGAGAAAATCCTTCATGATGGGATCCTCAAGCTTCTGGGTCTTTTCAAGGGGTACTTCGTCAATCTTCTTCTCAGCCTCTGCAAGGGGAATCGCATTCTCCTGTGGGGCCTGCTCCGGCTTTTCAATTTTCTCGGGCACGTCCATCTTCTTCGGAATCTCCTCCTTCTCAGGATTCTCAATCCAACTTTTGTCAACTTTCTCATTCTCCTTCAGGGAGTCTTGAACGATTTGAATATTGCTGTAACTTCTTAAGATGGAACATGACAACTTCATGGTTATATGTTTGAAACTTGCCGCTTCATTTTATGTAATTTAACCTAATTTAAATGGAGGCCCCAACAAGAAGCAATCCTGACACTCCATCATGTCCATTTGCAGAGTTGGCCCAACATCCATATAGGTTCCTGAGTTGCCAAACATTCCCCTTGAAAATTGTACCCTCAAAATTACTGCAACAACATTTTTAAAAAAGCACGAGTAAATTCAAGGCTCCGGTAGGCTCAGAAGGCTGCGAAGCAAAGACTTCAGCGATTGCTTCTGCCTCCTGCTGCTCTTTTTCTGCCTCCTTGCGAATCCGCAGCCTAAGATGAAGCAAAGACACCCCAAAGATCTCTTATCTAGAATCTTTCATTGAGCCGTAAATTAATTAATGGTATGGTGCCAGTTAAGTCATGATGTTAGTTGTCATTAGCTGCCAAGATGCACTTCGGCCAGGTGTTGGCGCCGCACAGCAAGGGCAATCAACGTGGCCTGCCCTTGAGGAATGCCTGGTGGTGCTTGGGGCTCCACCTTGGCCTTCGCAGCTGCTGCTGGGGCTGCTGCAGCTGGCGCTGGAGCTGCTGCAGCTGGCGCTGGAGCTGCTGCTGCCTTCGCCGCCGTACGCTTGGGCCGATGGTCCTGCAGCGCATTAATTGATTAAATTATCTAAATTAATTAAATTAATTAACGATTTGAATTTAATGCATTAAATTAAAACTGCAGTAATTGACATTGCCTATATTAAAATCAAACGTCAATTAAAATTAATTAATTAATTTCCCTGAGGCGATTCGTCAAACTCAATGATTTGGCGCTTGATTCCCCTTCTTTGGTTTAGCCTAAGATCTCATCTTACCTCAATTCTCCTACCCTCAATTTTCAACTAGCCTTTTAGCTTAATCTATTAAGACAATTATTTTAATCTAAGCTGACACATTGCAGGCACATATAATTTTCCCCAGCCCCGTCCTTGTCGCCACTGGAGGGTGCTGACACAGCAGGGGAAACAACCTTAGGAGAAGCCGCCAATGAGGATGGTGAAGGAGAAGCAGCATCACTCTTGTTCTGGCTCCAGTTGGCCAAATCCACCCCCCACGCAGTCAGCAAACCCCTGAAGATTTCATCCTTTATTGGGCCAACGCAGAAGCCATAAAATTATTTTTTTGGGTCACCCCTTGAGACAAACTGCAAAAAATAAGCCAAAAAATAAACTTGAAACCAAGGATCTCTTGGTGGTGCTTTTTTGTACGTCAACTGCTTCACCAATCCATACATGTATCGAAGGGACCATGCCTCGTCCGACAAAGTAGTGGAATTGGGATTCAGCCTGCACAGCTCAAAGCATTTCTTCACCTGGTCACTCAGAGCATTGACATCTGGAAACTTGTCTCGGTGGTCCTTCATCTTGACCATGAGGGGGATGAGAATCTCCGAGTTGTAGCGTAGGTTCGGGTGGTTCTTTGCAATGCTCCCCTTAAGTGCCACTGGAGCCTCACCTGGCTTTGGCTTCTCCAACATGATGGCTTGATAGTCCTGGAGCCTGTCTCGAACCACCTTCATGTTGTCCCACGTCTGTGCCAGACCATCGAAGTCACCATAAACAGCACCTTCGCTAGCAGACATGGCAGCGAGAGTGACGGAACTTGAGCTTGTAAGCTACCCAGTACTGTAATTTCTCGGGTGTCATGCCCCAATTCACCATCAATCCTAATACAAGCTAGTTTCAAGTCAGTCTATACTAATGCTTAATTGCCAGTGGCTTGCTGCACAAATCTTGGATTAAACTTTCCTACTTTGCCACTTTACTTGTTTATTCTCTCGCTGAGCAAATCTTAGATTGGGCTTTCCTTACTTTGCCACTTTACTTGTCTATTTTCTTCTGTGGCTTGTTTCGCCCATCTGTACTGGATACGTGAGGCCTCAATTTATGGTCGTTGAGACTAACCCGTGCCTTTTAATGAACATCTAACCCATTCTTCACCACATTAATTAAGTTAAATTCCATTCATCTATCACAATTTACATTGCCTAATTTATTGCACTTTAATGATGTTAAGTTAATTCTATTTAAGCTTACGAATGATCTTTAAATTAAATTAAATTAATATTAAAACTTAACTTAAAATTTAATTTTGAAATTTAACTTAAACTTAATTATCTGAACTTAAATTAACCTATCACACTTAAAATAAACTAATCTAGAAAACATCACTCTTCAATTAAGTTAATTCAGAAAAACAATCTATAACACTTAAATAATCTTAAGATGCCTAATTCAGACATTAACCTATCACCCTTCATTAGGAAGTTCTTGGAACTTTCCATGCGTGAGCATTACAACATATTACAACCATCCCCACCTCAAAACATGCCAGCAGCACCAGGCAGCCCTGGAAAGCATTGAGGCTGCACACTTGAAACAAATACTGCGGACAAACATAGATTCCTAAATGCTATTTTCCAATTCTCGCAACGCTTTTCCAAATCGCAGGAATTCCTACAACTCTCCCAAAATCGTAAAAATTTTTTAAAATTTTAAAATTTCATTGGTTGTTGACCTAGCTGGTATATATATACATGTTGAGATATTAATGGATTATTAAAAATTTGCCCAGAGATGGTTGGATGGACTATCCCGCTTTAAGCATACTGTACAAATTGGGATTTATCACCAATTTCAATGTTATAATTGTATATTAATAACCAACAAATACTGGTTGGTGGTATACCTACCCCTCTGAAAAATATGCGAAAGTCAGTTGGGATGATGAAAATGCCACTATATGGAAAAAAATGTTCCAAACCACCAACCAGTATATTAATAACCAACAAATATTTGGGCGTGTCTCAAAATCGGGCATTAACTGAAAAAGAGCCATATATCCAAGTATCCCACAGGAAATTATGTGTTCTTGTTGACCCCATTTTGGGGGATCGATGTTAAATTTAGCGGGTGTAATGATGGATCGTCTTTTGGGGGATTGTTTTTAAATGACGTGAAACAAGCATGTTGGTATATGATAATTATGATAAGTACCATTTTTTAAAGTATATTGTTTTGAAAGTACCCTTTTTTAGTTTCGGGATTTAAATATGATTATTGTGGCCTTTGGGTACTGCACACTACAGGTGCAAAAGGATGTGACCAGTTTTCTTGTGCCTGCGCAGTCAAAAGTTGGCAAAATCATGGAAAAAACATGGCGGCATGGCTGGAAACTCTTAAACGTTGCCGTAGTTCAACATCACCTTCTGAGAGCATGTTGGGACAACAGAAATATGGCAATTGCTTGCGTAGCCATGGAAACCATGACCCTGTCACAATTGCGGCTGTTTTCCATGATTCCATGGTGATGTCAAAAAATTACCAGGTGCCGGGTGCCCTTAAAAATGCATGTTGCAAACACTCATTTCTGAGTGACTTTTGATGAGTTTTGATAGTTTTGATGTGTTGGATTTTGGACAATTCCCCATTTTTATGGCATGGGTTTTCTCATTAAAAAAACCCGCGAAAAAATATGGTGGAATATGCTGGATCCCCCATTCGCTTGGTCAAATCCCACGGGTTTTGTTGGTTGGTGACCCTGCGGCAATGAAACATGGCTTAGAAATCAACGAGAAATGGAAATTTATAGGGAAGATCAGCTAGAAATGGTGGATTTACCATGGCCACACTTGAGGCATCTGGAGGCTACTTGTTCTCAATATCAGTTCTTTCTGTATTTGATCATTAGAGAGATATCCCCAAGGTTCCCGTCGTTGAAACTTACTGATTCTCGGAAGTTTTCTGACCAAACTTCCTTCCATCACTGGCTTACAGCCTCCAGTAAGAAAAGCATAGACATGAAAATAGTCGATTAGTTTTCCATTATTATGTTCAGGGGCTAGAACATGACAACCCCCAAAAAAATAGACTAACATGACAACCCTGCCAAGTAAGGGGTAGTCAAAAGTAGTCTTCCAACCCTTACTTGGCAGGGTTGTCATGTTAGTTGGGGCGATGGTACTGAGGTGGGTTTGTCAGAACATTTGGTGCCAATAACTTGTTCCCAATTCAATTCACCAGTTTGGGTATGCACCATTTTCCGGTAATATGTCTGGGGAAACCAAGTTCACACAAACCCAAGAATCATGTATATTGGTAATGTGAACCCCGGATTTTTGTCAACCCCCGATTGATAAACCTATGGGGAATTCCCAAAATCGCAATATGGAACCTCCCCAATTAGTAAATTAGGCGTTGTTAATCCCGAGTTGATTGTTGCATACATATCATTACTTACGAACCAAAAAACCACACAATCTTGTATATGTAGTAATCAATAGTAATCAACAACAATCAGATCTGGTTGGTGGTATACCTACCCCTCTGAAAAATATGCTCGTCAGTTGGGGTGATGAAATTCCCAATATATGGAAAAACAAAAAAAAAAGTTCCAAACCACCAACCAGAGATAATATTGGGAATATTGTTGGTAAATACTGGGTCCTGCATAATTCAGATATATTTTCTCGCGGGTAACTTCCAACTATTGGATTGAGGATATGGCCAACTATATTCTCGATCATATTATATTATACAACAATCAACTAAGTATTATAGAATCATTTACATTCTCAACTAATTATATTTTCATTTTCTATCATATATAATTACTATCAATTATAACAATCATTCTCAACTAATTTACAATATTAGTTGACAATCAACACATGTTAAAATATTTTAAAATGTCTTAAACATAAGGTAATTATATGTATATAATTATAATAAACAACATGAATCTTATCTCGCTGGGTCCCGCTGCGTTCAAACACCGTGCCTCCACGGGCCAGGGCGCCGGGAACCAAGGCAGGTCGTAGGCCACCCCTGCGTTGTGCACCACGGAGAGGGCTCGAGATCCACGGATCTGGCGCCGGGAACTGCTGGTGATCTGGTGATGGTTTACCTATCAATAGCATGGTGGATCTTTCCATGGCGAACTGGCAATGTCATAACCAGGTTCGGTATCTACTGGCTGAAATAAGAAGCCTAGGGTGTGCTGGATTTGTGGCCATTAGTTCTTATTTCCCAATTTTGGGACTGTACACTATGGCATTTCCATGCCGATGACAAGTGCAGCCGGCAAAAAAAAAACGCAAGACGCAAGACGCAAATCAGCGGCGCCGAAAGGGGAAGTGATCAACACTGCGTGCCAGACACCAGCCAGACTCATTAGAGATCCTCTGGCTTCAAGTGCTGCCTTTGGCTTGATTTGGCTGCTGGGACGCCTTTTGCTGCCCTGCATCTACCGAAAAAAACTTTCGAGGCCTGAAAGTTTTCTTCTTCCTCTGGCCACTTTGTAGACCTGTTACTAAATCAAGAAACTACTAGAATTTGAAAAACCCTCAACATATGTGCCCCTTAAGAACTAACGGGTACCCTCGTTCACATTCCTCATATTTGTCCGCCTTTTTCTCACTTAACCCCACATTATAGGCTGGAACATTCTCAGTCCGTTCTTATCCAAGGGTTCCGGCCCCAAAGATGGCGCCTTTCCATAGGTTTTGACCTGCTACCCATCCCCATATCCCAAAAAAAGAGCCATGAAAAAAACCCAAAACATTGCACATACCCAAGATAAAGGGGCTTTCTTCGAATGGGGGGATCACCAAAACCAATGGTTTCAATACTGAAATATGTTCAATTTTGGATGATTTGGAGGTTAATTCTAGATAATAGGAAACCTCCATTTTGTTTTGGTAGTCATTGAAGGTATTGGGCAGTATTCTTGTTTTAAAATAACCAATGTTGGATGGATACCAAAGGTTGATATCATTGAATACCTTCAAGGTGATGCCCCCGCAGTTGCAAGTTGGTATATAAACCCCACCAACTTTAGTTATGATATATATATGGCGGTTTCCTGAAATAGGAGTACCCCCAAATCATCCATTTTAATAGGATTTTCAGTTATAAATCATCAATAAACCACAGTTAGCCAAGTTATAAGTTTGGGGAACCTCACCTTCTAGAAATGTCTGGATTTGTTCAAATCATCATGTTGTACCATATCATCCTCTCAACTAGCGATTATGGAAGGTGATACGGTGGCGTCGATTATGGGAATACATCCTGCCGTTTTGTTGTACCATATCATCTTCTCAACCAGCTATTTTGATGCCATAAATATGGAAGGATTATAACTGGAGATATTCCACTTAAAGCAACAAAATAGCTGGTGGCACACGGATGTTCATCTAAAGGATCGTATGGTAGGTCATACAGTGGCGTTTAAAAATGCTAATGAACCCATCCCCAAATTGGGTGTCCTCGGGTAATTTAACATAGCTATGGAAGCCATGGCCCATTATGTCATATTTAGTTCGAAGATTACCTATGAAAAAATGTGATTTTCCGTTGCTATGTAACAAATTACCAGATGGCATCTCCAATCATTATCCATATTTGATTATCACCATCCCATACTTGGTGGCTCATCCCACTTAGTAAGTGGGTTATAACCCCAGTTATAAGTAGATTAACCCTACTTATCCCATTTATAACTGGGGTTATAACCCACTTACTAAGTGGAATGAGCCACCAAGTAATTTCCCATAGTTATCCTTAATTGACTAAAGCATCAAATGGAAACTGGACTTTTTAACATGTCAGCGTTCAAAATCCTGGGATTTCCGAGGATCTGTTGCCATCATGGCTAGTAGGGGGGGTCAACCATCGAACATAGGGGAAGTACTTGATACAACTGATAACTTTTTGATGAAATCCACTTTTGAAACTGAATATTCAAAGTTGTGATGCACTTATCCAACATGTCAAATCAATCATACATCATAACCAATTGGAGTTTTCAATGCATCTGAAAAATATCGGTCAGTTGGGATCATAATCCAATTGTCATGCTTGATTTCATGAAAAATATCTGAAAAATCAAGCAGTTTAACTGTGGTTTCTGATGTTGAAATTCAGGAACTCTTTACTTTCGGATCAAATCCCGATCTGTTCTCGTCATATGCTGCGGTGATCATACCTCTGTCGTTGTGGGAATGTAGCCCCCCTCAAATGGTGATAAATCGCATGTTTGAACCAAGGAAAGTCCTGTGATTTAATCATGAAACATTGCAGTTTTTAAGCGTCAACCAAAATGCTGCGAGTTGAACAACTCGCACACTTTGAATTTGCCTCAAAACATATGGTATAGTCCAATTAAAAAAAGAAATACTTGTAACAGGGGCAGCATCAGATTACAACTGCGAGAGCGAAAAAATAGGGATCCACTCTTCTTGAGTAGACCGACAAGAATCGTGCATGATATGACTAATAAACAATTGGAGGGTTCCTAAAGTGGTGGATCCCCAAGTCACCACGGGTTTCAATACTAAAATGATCTATCTAGTTTTGGATGATTTGGGGTACCATGTTAAGAACCCCGCAATTGTTCCACAAGGTGGTGTCTCAGTTCGGAATCGTTAAGTTTGTGCCTACATAACTCCTATTTCACTCTTGGGTTTACAGTAGATATATCGAATTACGTAGATACATTATATTATATCTTGCTATCTGGGGAAATTATAATATGGTATTCACTAACCTGAAATAGACCATATTGGGAGAATTCCCCTATACATTCACCATTATTCCAGGCTTCGGTCGGAACGTGAGGTCGATATAATTTACCCAGTTACTATGGTCAATCAACATTAACTGTGACTATCAAGTTTTATGATAATTCTTCCAGATTATATAATTTACACAGTTACTATGAAGTTTACCCACAACAAACATAGAACTGTGAGAGAAGCACCAGGCTGCTGTCCAATTTTTCCTCAGGCATTCCAATTGCCCAAAAGCTTGGGATTTTTATGGATGTTCCATCATTTTCCCCATCTAGACAGGTGGATGTTTGCTATTTTCAAATCCCAAGGTCGACCTGATTTTTTTTCGGACTCTGCCTTGGCCACTGTTTCAGCCACAAGGCGACAGGACGCCTGACAGGGGCAGGATATGGTATGTCATATGTCCAAATGATTCATGGCTGTGGGTCAAAATTGGGTACCGCAATGGCTAATGCTATGGGTATCATTACAGGGCTATGAACAAATAATGGCTATGTATCATTTCAGCTATGGATTGTCCAAATGATTCATGGCTATTGTCAAATAATTGGATGGTTTATAGGTTATTCTTTTGAAAATTGGATGGTTATATAATTGGGTTGGGTATCTCACTAATTGGATAATCATAGAATTGGGTATCTAAAAAAAATGGGTATCCCTAAAAATGAATGGTAATACCAAAAATACCCCAGGTCTTTAATTTTGAGCCATACCCCAATCTTAATGACACAGTTTCTGAAAGCAAATCAAAAAAAAAAGTATATGCCCTCCGGTACTTTGACAGTGTGCTATGTAATATTGCGTATTTAGTTGGATGATGAAAATGGTGATTTTCCAGTTCGCAAACTGCTAGTCATTGATGGTAGGTTGGATATGGTTGGATGGTCCCAGTTGCCAAGTTAGTAACAAACATACTTTGACATCCTTTGACCCAGTTCTAAACAGATTTAAATAGAACATATAATTATATATATGCCCCACAAATATATGAGTTACATGAGATGAAGAAATTTATCGCCCCAGATCGTTACGGAATGTACCAGGGCGGTATTTAAAAATACAACACAACTGGCGATCCAACACAACTGGTGCTATAAAAAAAAAAAAAAACATCCCATTGGTGCTTCGCGGAGCTGTGAAGAATCCCAGATCTTTCCAGTGGATTTCCCAGCTTGCCACGCGAAAAATTGCCACGATCACCGGAGGCTATTGGGTAGTATAGTCATAACATGTCATAACCAACCAGTGCTTTTGAAGAGTGCCATATAAATTGATCACAATAGTCCACACAATGTGTGCGTTCGAGTTTTTTTGGATGTGCATGTCAGTGCGAGTACTTCATCCTTACCAACTGGGCTCCCATTCATAGCTCGATGTGGGAAAAAAAACACCATGGTTGGTTCACCCTTCTCCTGATTGGTTGATAGGTATTCCGAATTCCTATAAAAAGAAAGTGTTTGTTTGCTGATAATCTTTAAACCAGGTGGGCAATGGTCAACATCCTTTTGATAGTCCCTGATATATTATGTAGAATTGGAATAACCGTACCAACAGGGGCTTAACCGCCACTTCTCTCAAACTGATACCAGCGGAAAACCCGCGAAGAACCTACTGAAAATCCAACAGCTGGTATAGTGGTCGGTCAAACCCATCTGGATCATATGGGATAATTTTCTCATTTTTATGGTTGAACAAAAGAACCATTTATGTCCCATCTAACTATAGAAATATATAGAAATATTGCATCACCATAAACCCAAAAGTGAACACAAACTAAACTTAGCTAGTGAATAGCATCTAACGCCAAAAGTAGATAATTACTGGGATACTGGGCCACTGGGTCTGGGAAATCAATTCTAAGCTTTGAGTGACAGAGATCCCCAGAAAAATGGACTGTGATCATCCCCAATTTATATCAATTACTGGTTGGTGGTGCAATAACCATCTTGAAAAATGATGGAGTTCGTCAATGGGAAGGAAAATCCCATATGTGTCATTATATATGAAATGGAAAATAAAAAATGTTCCAAACCACCAACCAGATTAGGATTGGCTAGTATCAATCCTCCAAGTAAATCAACCAATAGGGGTTTGCCAAGAAACTGGAGCAGCTCCCCAGCCTCATCGCTCACGTCACATTGCAAGGCCCTGCAGCGTGGGCCCAGCTCGTCAGCAAGCTCTTGCGCCTTTGGCAGACTCCTGAGCGAGCGCTCGAGCGGATATCGTTGGAGAGTTACCCTCTGGTAATTTGTTACATAGCTATTGAAAATGGCCCAGTCGAAATAGTGGATTTACCCATTGAACCATGGTGGATCTTTCCAGAGTTTTTTGTATGTTTACCAGAGGGTAAGGGGAGACTGTGGGAAATGTTTTTTTAAAAAAAAAACGCGATCATGTGTGCGCATGGGTCAAAACAGATATGGATAGATGGATGTTTATGCCTGCGGACCGAAAACCGTTCCCGTAAAACGCGCGTTTTTGAATATCTCGATTTTGGGGTGGTGGGGTGGGTGGGGGGGGTGGGGGGGGATGTTAACGTTCCTTGTACTTCGTACCTGATATATTGCTACGCTGCTGAGATCTCTGGGATCGTTTACTACGTACATGTTGCTACGCTGCTGAGATCTCTAGGGTGGGTTGGGGTGGGGTGGGGTGGGGTGGGGGGGGATGTTAACGTTCCTTGTACTTCGTACCTGATATATTGCTACGCTGCTGAGATCTCTGTTTACTACGTTACATGTTGCTACGCTGCTGAGACCTCTAGTGTGGGGTGGGGTGGGGTGGGGGGGGATGTTAACGTTCCTTGTACTTCGTACCTGATATATTGCTACGCTGCTGAGATCTCTGGGATCGTTTACTACGTAACATGTTGCTACGCTGCTGAGATCTCTGGGATCGTTTACTACGTTACATGTTGCTACGCTGCTGAGATCTCTGGGATCGTTTACTACGTAACATGTTGCTACGCTTCTGAGATCTCTGGGATCGTTTACTACGTAACATGTTGCTACGCTGCTGAGATCTCTGGGATCGTTTACTACGTTACATGTTGCTACGCTGCGCATGGGTTCGGGTGCGTTAGTGACGGATAGGTTTTCGGTCCGCTTACATAATGCGATTTTGATGATAGTATATATGTAAATAATGTCTTGTTGGGTTGCTCATCCTGTCTGCTGCAGGTTCGCGACTCAGGGACCTGGCATGCATTATTTGTGTTCCGACAGATTGGGGATTCTAATATTTACACTAAGTTGGGGAATCTTCTATTTACTCATAAGTATGATGTATGTATAGGGGTATTGAACGTTCTTCCCTGCAATAGAACAATTTGTCGGCAAACGTGACACAAATATATGTGCCGTTGTGATAGTAGAAGTCGTCGTATATGCGTATCTATATATAAATATTTATTTAGACATAAGGGTTGATGTTCATGTGTTATTGTGTCTTAGAATGTTCTGCAATGTGTATTTTCTTGGCAACTTAAATGAGGTTCCTTAATCTGGAAAGTGTCTGGCGTGAGTTTGCAGATTGCAAATTTCGTATCATCTTCTTGCATGTCGGGGCGTTTGAGGTCGGACCGCTCAGTCCTGGGGGGGAACTCAGATCAGACCAAGCTGCATCAAGTTTGGGGTGCATGGGCGTTCTGATTTTCACATGCAGATTTAATTTCGCTTGCAGATGTCATACTTGTGCATGACTGCTCCGCAGCCGTTTCTACTTTCCATACGCGCTTTTCTTGTCACCTTCATATTCTTCACTTCTCCTGATGGTTTCTACGGAGCACCGTAATGCGGTATGTCGTTGCCTCTGTTTGATCATTTTGCTTCGGATGGTGAACAACACCTTTTTCAAAAACCATGAGATTTTGAAGCCATTCTTTGAAGAAAGTCTTGTGTCTTTGGACGACACAGTGAAAATTCTGCTGGATGTCACGACGGACACGTGGATTGTGCAGTTATTGTTGGATGATGCTCGTTCTGGCTTACCTTGGGGCCGGTTGCCAAATTGTTTGTCTGTGTTGACTGACATATGGCAGTCCTGGAAAAGTCGTCATGTCTTACCTCCTGCAGTCCTAGGGGCAGCAATGGTGTTGGAGCGCCGCTGTACTGCTTCACAGCAGTATGTTGTGACGCCTGAGCAGTTCTATCGGTCTTTTCACGCCATTCCTGTCTTGCGTGAGTGGACAGAAGATGAGGTCAACAGTGCTTTGGAAGATGAAGCAAAGAAGGATGCCGAGAATGGATCGCAATCATTCCATGCGGGGACGGAGAACGAGCCTTGTCCTCCGTCACCTGTGAGCATTTCCGCCAGCACAGAAGCGAGGTTTTTTGAACAGAGCACCGATTGCGGTGAAATCAGTCCGTTGCGTGGTGATGAATCTCCACCGCACAAACGGTTCAAGAAGTGGTACCACAGAGAACTGTGGGTAGATCCTGGAGAAGAAGTTCCAGAGATCCCATCTTCGCCGGAGGCCACGGTGTCCTTGCCGAAGCCGTCTTTGACTCCGTCTGCTCGCGGCCGTCTGTTTGAAGACCTGGAGCACGCCAGACGTCAGATGATTGCGGAGTTCTCTTCGCAGGCAGTGCCAGTCTTTCATGCAGGCCAGGAACGGTTCAAGTGGGGCGGATGCCGTGATTGTCCCACTTTGAGCCTTCAACCGCACCTCAATAGAAATGGGCAGGTTAGACCTGGACAGCTTCTCCTTCGCTGCAGCAGCTGGTTTCGATCCAAAGCCTGTTGGTTTTCGCATCCCTTTCCAATGTCTTTGTTTTCCGATTTGCCTCGTCCTGTGCAGGATGAATACTCATCCCTGAAACAGTCGCTGCGTCGTGGTGGCGACGCTGCACGCGACGCGCGAGAGTCACACTGACTGCGCTCGTGGCACAAAAAAAAAGGGACAGTTGTTGGGAATTGATAGGACTTCGCTCACTCGCTGTTTCCACAGCGGACTTGTGTCTTGATGGTTTCTGGAAAGCGAACTCAGAAATGTTTTTGTTTTTAATTGAACTACTTTGTAATGTAGCATGCAAGCTGATGTCATGTGCTTGCATGTCATTCGGAGAAAGCATGCTTCATGTTCTGCTCCGTTGCTTCTTTCAATTTGCAAGTTGTTCACGCTTTGCTCACCATGATCATGGTACTTGAGACTCCTGTTGCATTTTCATTCGCTCGACAATGTTTGCTAGGCATGATCATGATACTTGAGACTTCTGTTGCATTTGTCTCGTGTCGAAAACACGCCGAAGAAGGTTCAAGCTCGTTTGAACTTTCCCTTTCCGATTAATGTAGTTGCGATGAAAGCGGTCAAAGACGCAAGGAAAAGCTGCAAAAAATCAGCACGTGCTAAGTCCGGTGTGTGCAAGTCCCTGGGCAAGACTCCGGCCTCCACACAACGAAAGACTAGCAATGGCCAGCAAAGAGGTTCCAAATCGGAGCCGCAATGTACGATCTGTAACAAGAAAGGGCATTACTCTAGCAGCTGTCCGCGACTCGCACAGAAGTTGTTGCAGGCAGTCCGTCAGCATGCTAACACTGCACAGATTTCCAAGTACCTCGCCGGCCACAAGGATGCTAAAGTCTTGGGCATGACAGGCAAACCTCAGAAGACTCTCAAAAGACGTTCACGTGCAAAGCCATGGTTCAAAAAGTCTGAGCAGGCTTCGAAAAGTCGAAAAGTGCGCAACACAACGAACAAGAAGAAGAATGCAAAGAGAGATCGTGCAAGAAAACCAAAGCCTAAGAAGGATCTCAAAAAGGTTTGCATTGACAAGAAAGCCACAGAGAGTGCTTATAAGAAGTTGAAACGTGACCAGTGGCTATGGCAGCCGCACAAGTGTACTTCCTGTTTTGGCCATCTCTACCTTTTGCCGTGGGGAACATGTCGTGCGCGTGGCCGAGGAAGACTTTTTTATAGATGTGATGAATGCAGAAAACATTTTGATGTCTTGACCTTCAGCCATCTTCTTTCTCTGCGATTGCCTCTTGTGATCGTAAGCCGCGCCATTGACATGCACTTCGAAAAGTCACCACCTCCATCTGCCTCGGATGTGGGCCGTGCTTTGGGATGCAGCGCAACCCCCGGAGGCTCGTACCACAATAGGAATTACTGCCTAGCTTTTTTGCTTGTCCGAAGGTGAAAAAAAGAACACGTAATGCGTTATCACTGTCCCTGCAAGTTACTTTATCTTCATCACCATAACATCAACCTGATCCTCATAATAGAACATCAAATCACTTAAGCCCGTTAAAATGATCTTAACCATGGGCCACATTTCAACATTGTACTTTTCGCTGCTGGATGAGCATGCGTCCCGCCAGGACCTCTGGACAAGCTCCTGAAATGCCTGTTGAACCATGAAGCTGCCTGCGCACTGACGTGGCAAGAGTCTCATTCCATAGGAGGCTTGGGCTGGGTGTCGTCTGGCGGCGCACGAGACCAAGCTATTAGCGGGTGCAAATCCTGAATCCAAATGCTTCAAACTGAGAAATTAGTTGCATGGCACGGAACATTTCCCGGCACCATTGCCGCAGACGCTGTAGTAAGTGAGCATTCCTGCCAGGAGTCGTTGAAGCTGATGGCACATCGATCGGATCCTACCGGACTGGCAATGCCTTGATGTATCGGCAAGTCTTTGGAATGGTGTCTCGAGATGACTCTCAGGCTGCTGTTGCTGCTGCTGCTACCAACCTAACCAGATTGTTACCCATTGCTACTTCTTTCTACTCAAAAAACGAACTTCGAAACCATCCCCTGGTCAGCCACATAAAAGCAACATTACTTGATATATATATATATATAAATATATATATATAGAGACAGTATCTGTATATACATATATATATATGTATATATATATATATACTTTGGAAAAACCCATACGTGACCTGATTGCACTCAAGATGCAACATCGTATAATGCAGAATGTAGTCTGTTTTCAAAGCATTTGTCACTTGCTCTGCAGGCCACACGCTGCATGCTGCTTTGGGACATTGGGACGGCACGTAGTGAGTCTCATGGCAAACCACCCCCAGAATCTTATGCTCGAATCCGATGAGCAGGCGCTTTAAAGTTTCTCATGTCCAAGCTGAATGGACAAAAGACAGTTTTGATGACTGATGGTGCAAAATGCTACAGCCGCATTGCATCCGAATGTGATGTGAAGTTGGCACAAGTCAGTCACTCTCAGGGTAGCTTTGTCAAAAAGGTCACCAGGAACCGGCAGAATCTCAGCTGCCACACTGGCACCATAGATTCGATGTGGAATCTCATGAAAAGATCTATTCCCAGCAACTTGTCTGCCAAAAGTGACCTTTTGATGGTGTACGCTAGAGCTTGGCAGTGGCGATGCATTCACAAGAATGCTGACTGCCAGCTGTTTACCACGCATGCGTTGCAGCGATGAGGCTGAAAAAGGAAAAAACGCGCCGCAAGATTTTCCAGGCTTTCCAATCATCAAATTGGTACGGCACTGTGCTAAAATCAACATTCGTGGTAGCGATGACGCTGAAAAAGGAAAAAACGCGCCCCTAGTTTTTCCAGAATTTCCAATCATCAAATTGGCTGCCCTCTGGTAAACGTTAACAAAAAACTATGGAAAATGACCATGTTTAATGGGAAATCAACTATTTCTATGGCCATTTTCAATTGCAAACTGTTTGCTTACCAGAGGGTATACATCCCTATGAAAATGGATTGCTGGGTCCACAATTCTAACTTTTGACTTGACCATTGTACATGCGCCTTTCAGAACTATTGGAAATGTTCATGTGGAGCCAGAAACAATGGATTACTATGGGATATATATATATATAAATGTGGGACGAAAACCCATCATGCTGGGTATATTCATTGGGATACCGGGACACTGATAATATCCGCATAGTGTTGGACGATCATCGGAAGAATGAAAAAGCAATGAGAAAGTATGGATCACTAACGGGCATATTAAGCAGTGAGGCTGTGAGGCTCTAGTACTAATCTCAGGTTACTACGTAGTGGGTCTTTAATCTGACGGGCTTGATAAGCCAGCAACAATAGAAATTCAGCAGTAAGTGCAATGGTGTCTAATATGCCTTGATCATTTGTAGATGATTTATATTGATTTATGATGACTTGCCTATTAAAAAATGTGCTTTCCTATAGCTAGGTCGAACTACCAGAGGGTAACTTCAACCTTCAATGTTTGGGGGATCTCAAAAGATTATCAAAATTTGGTCCATGTTCAATGTTCAACCCCAAGGGTCAAGAAACGCTCATCAAACATCATCAAACCAACAAAGAAATCGAACATCCAACGGTCAAGAAAAATGATGAACATTTTCACATGTTCAAGATCATCAAGCAGAATTCAAACATATAAGTACCATATAAGGCCATATAATGAACATGGAAGGATCCTAAAATGGAGGTACCCTCTGGTAATTTAACATAGCTATGGAAAATCACCATGCTATTAATGGGAAAATCCACTATTTCTATGCCCATGTTCAATAGCTATGTTAAATTACCAGAGGGTACTGTACCATATCCACCAAAAATACCGGCCCACAAAACCGAGAATTCAACCAGAAAACACTGAATCGGAAAACCAGCGGCCTCGCCGCAACAATGAGCTCAGCATCTGCCTGTTGAAGCACCTGGTCGTTTGGAGGTTGGAAAAATGGCTGAATCTACTGGAAAGTGATGGAAAACTACCCTATGTAAGGGAATATCCCAACAAAATATGGCCTAAAAAATGGTACTAACGTACCTCCATTTTAGGATCCTGAAATTCCCGTTGAATAAGTGCCCTAAGTGGGTGTATCCCATCAAGGTAGTGCCCCAGTTCGGAATCGCTAAGTTGGTGCAAATAACTCCAATTTCATTATGGTTTATAATAGATATATCTATACTATTCCGTCCTATGGTGCATAAACCAACTTATAACTGGGGGGGCACCACCTTGTGGAAAGTGATGGAAAACTACCCTCTGGTAGTTTAACATAGCTATTGAAAATGGCTGTTTATAGTTTATTTACCATGATTTACCTATTAAACATGATGATTTTCGATAGCTATGTTAGCCTACCGGAGGGTACTGGAAGATGATGGAAAACTATCAGAAAGAGATTCTGACAGAGATTCTGGAAGAGATTCTGAAAGTGATGGAGAACTATGAAATGGGATTGATGTTCATCTATGTTCCAGAAAATGATTCTGAAAGTGATGGAAAACTATGTGTTTTTTGGACAATGGATGGATGGAAATGGATGAAAGTGGGTTCCATTTACAGTAAATAGGCTTCAGAGAAAGTTAGCAGGACACCACGATATGTTGGGTAAAAACCATGGTTTCCTATCCGGTGAAGATTTATCCTTCAACCAAGCCATTGATCCATTGACTAGGGGCATCATATGTATCATAATTGCATCATGGAGATATGACATCATCCAACAGAAACTACTTTTAAACCCACAGATAGGTCATGATCATAATGAATCCTCCGGACAAAAAAAACACCACTGGCACAAAATCAGAGGTTGGTCAGGCAAGGTCGGAGGAGTCTTTCCGGTGGAGCTTTCCAGTGTTGTGTTTTTTTACCCCATGAATACGCTAGTTCTATTCCCAATAAACCCAGTTAAGCAAGTTATAAGTCAACTCATTAAGTTGCTTGTTGATTAATATAAATCCCAATGTTCAGTCATCTCAAAATATCTTCAAGTGTTCAATGATGTTGATCTAAACCTCAGTGTTTTTCGTTAATTCATCGAACCCACATGGCGGCCATGGGTTTTTGACCAAACCTAGGGACCGGATGGGTTTTCCTTGGTGAATTTTCCCATCATCCAATGGTCCCAAAATCTTGTATAGTTATATCATGGTATGTCCTCCTATTTTTCATGGTCAATCTTTGACAGTCAAAAAAAAAAACTCATCTGGTTGGTGGTATACCTACCCCTCTGAACAATATGCGAAAGTCAGTTGGGGTTACTATTCCCAATATATGGGAAAATAAAATTCATGTTCCAAACCACCAACCGGTCATTCTTTACTGCTTTGCTGGTTGAGTCCGATTTATAGAAAAACCCATCCAGTCGGGGATGTGATGTCCTATTCTCAATGGTTGAAAAACCCATCCAATGGTGGGGAAAGTCCCACTCACCATAACTTTGCTGGTAAACCATTTCGATTCCATATATATATAATATATATTATATATATTATATATATATTATATATTATATATATATATATATATTATATCATATATATATATGTAATGGTTGCTCAAAATGGCGGATCCCCAAGTCATCACGGGTTTCGATATTACAATTGTCTAATGAGATGATTTGGGGGCACCACCATCCATGACTTCGGAAAGCTCCATTTCATCACCATTACAGTTCCATTTTTCCTCCAACCCCTATAGATACTACAAATACTACATGATACTACAGATACTATAGATACCCTCTGGTAAACTAACAGTTTGCTATATATTGAAAATGGCCCATAGAAATAGTTGATTTACCTATTAAAAATGGTACTTTTCCATAGTTTTTTGTATGTTTACCAGAGGGTATCTATAGAGACTATAGAGACTCCCCACGGCCCATCCCGCCCTCGGCACCTGTTTGCAAATGCCCACGCCCAGTCCACGCGCCGCGCCAGTCACAAGCACCAGGCGCTGTCCCGGCAGGGGCCCAAGGTGCCCATGGCGCTCCGCTGGATCCCAAAGGGTGGCCATAGTGTATTTATACCAGATAGAAGTGGAATACACCAGATTTATATAGATTTATATAAGATTTTTTTTTGGCACTGTTAAATATGTTAAATAGTCCCATTTATCCATGTACACTATCTGTATCTATGTATACATAAGCTAACCCCCCCAAAAAAACTACTTGTTTATCTCTTCATTTCGATCAATCAGTGTTTTTCCCAACATGTAAATATGCATTCTTAATTCACAGACCCATTTCATAACGTACTAAGTACAATCCTTCTGGAAGGACGAAACACGTTGCACAAACATTCCCCGCAACATACAAGGCATCTTCCAATCAAATGCAGTAACTCTTCAAATCAAATAAGACTATCTTCAGAAATGTAGCCATTACTTTGAAGAACATATATGTTTTTCTCTAAGTGACACTATATTTGTTGAAAAACAAGTTGGATGTTTAAAAGAACATGAAGCACATGTAGTGAAGGCTATGACAGTGAAGGCGCCTTGAACAAAGCTGAACGGGGGCGGATGTGATGAAATGTCACATGGTCCTCTGATCCTCTGTCACCACCATGACGTTTCATTGGAGAACAACTCATTCTAAGTTAAAAGGAATTATGGAATGCAGTCTGATATAATATATATATATATATATGTACATATATATATATGTACATACATATACATATACTATTAAGATTAGTTAAGATTCATATAGATTCATCGTAAAGAGTTCATATGAATAACCATTGCGAAAAATATTGGGTGCCCTATATTTCTTTTGGATGGTTACAGGTTGGTACATGTATGGCAAGAAAAGTATAAAGCACTACCCATCCAGTCGCCTTACAGCAAATAAAACTGGAGACATACTGAAAATCCAGTTTTGGAACTAAAGATTCTATGTTTTGATGCGACTATCCAAAATACGGTGGATGGTTGCGAAATCCTGGACCACCAAACGCGCCAAAAGGATGGTTGAAACCCTATACATCCATAAATATCTGTAAATCATGGGATGTTTACCACCGATCAACTGGCGCAGAATATCAGAACTGGTCAGTGGGGAACCTTATCCCAGTTATTAAATAAAACCACAGACGCAACAGCTAACCGTGCTAACCTTAGGCAAAAAAAACAACTTGGGTGCCCTCTCGTAGTTTCATATATTTATGGAAAATGTCGAAAAATTTAGCTTGATGATTTATCTCTTTGAATATGGAAGTTTTCCACTTCGAGAGGGTAAACTTCAACCCCCATTCTATCACCATGTCTGTTGGTGAATCCCCACTATATCATCTATCACTGTTATATCCCACTACATCCCATCAAAATATCATGAAAATCCCTCACAATCCCATCAGATTCCCATATTTTCATGGTCAATGTCCACTGTTATCCTCATCCATGGCCTCGTCAGCTGCCGGTGCCACTTCTTCGGGCAGAGGAAACGACACAATCTTCCCGGACCTCGGGGGATACAAACGGTAAACGGTCAACGTTGTCCCAAAAAACCATGGACAGATCCACCATGCTATCAATGGGAAAATCACCATATCTTACGGGATAATCACTGTTTTTAATGGGAAAATCACCATATTTAATGGGATAATTGGGATAATCACTGTTTTTAATGGGAAAACTCACTATTTCGACTGGGTCATGTTCAATAGCTATGTAACAAATTACCAGAGGCTATTTGTTCTGGAGTTTTTCGGATTAGGGTTGCTGGATGCTGGTTTTTGTCGGTGTTTTTGGTGTTCGATTTTTTCTGGTGTCTGGATCTTTTGGGTATATCCATGGGGGATATTATCGCATCGAAGTCCTCACCATTTCGGCCGAAACGCTGATCGTTGGAACATGTTGGAATTATTTCTCCCAAGATGTGAGTACAAGCATCAGGAGGTCATCGACAGTCAAAGAATAGACTATGGAATAGAAGAAATATGAAATAGAATAGTGATAGAACACCAATTAGTACTGTTTAGTAACACCATTCGTACCCTATTTAATCCCTTCTTAGTAAATTACTAAAACTCCACCAAATAAAAAAAATAGGATTGGTGTGGCACTTCCGGTTTTTTTTGGTTGGGCACAATCGGATTCAATTCTTAATTGTGGTAATTGAGAATCAATGAGAACAGGATGGTGAAACAATGTGTTCAACCCCCTATTAATAAAAATACATTGCCACCTGGAGGTTTTTTATTAGGGTCCCATCTCACAAGTTTTATGTTCTATTTTTATTATTAAGGTTTTTAATCGAATATTAGGGGAAAGCTTCGAAATCCAGTTTTGGGTTTTATTTTATATAGAGTTTAATAAGGGATTTAATCAAATTTGAAATCGAGTTTTTTATTTTAATTATTAAGGTGTTCATTGGAATATTAGGGGAAAGCTTTGAAATCCTGTTTTTGGCAAAAATTTATATAGATTTCAATAAGGGATTTAATCAAATTTGAAATCGAGTTTTTTACTCTTATTATCAAGGTGTTCATTGGAATATTAGGGGAAAGCTTCGAAATCCAGTTTTTGGCAATATTATATATATACAGATTTTGATAAGGGATTTATTCAAAATTTAAATCGAGTTTTTTTTATCATTATGGTGTTCATTGGAACATTAGGGGCACCCTAATACAAATTACCCATAATAATAAAAAGAGATCACCGTGTTTACCATTTGGGGGATGTGTTTTACCATTGGTCGGCCATCGCAACACCAGCCATGAAATAAATACCCCGTTTTCCCATCTCATTGTAGTAGTTGGTTTTTCTAGGTTTCCCTACAGTATGGCTTATCATAATCCCCAGTAAACCTTAAGTATTTATAGTATAATCATGTATGATCCCCTATAGCAATCAATGAAAACCAGGGTATTTGTTTTTCATGGCTCAATGGATCACCAGGGTACCCCATCATTGGTGAAATTTCCCAGGTTTCTCTTTAGTACTTCCATGACTTCCAGGGGCCTCAAGAAGATCAATGAGACCCTGCAATGTCAGCCTTTGGTTTACTCTTCGAACGTGCAAAAAAGGGAACCCTTTTTGGCTTAGACCATGTTCAAGTGGTGAAAAACCAATCCGAAACAGCTTGGGCCACTCCTGAGTTTCAGGAAGGAATGACCAGGTACCCATCACATAAAACTGACTTGGGGGACCCCAAGTCAATCAATAGAAAACAATCAACTTGGCACACCGGAAAATTGTGATGTTATTAAATGATGGAGCTTTCAACACGGTCCCAAAATCACCTGAGTCCTGAACCCCCAAGTTGTTTTCTTGTCCTCCATGGTATCAATCTTATCACTGGAAAAAAGAAATGGTAATAACCGATCTCCAAATAATTGATTCTTACATTACCCTCTGGTAATTTGTTACATAGCTATTGAAAATTGCCCAGTCGAAAGAGTGGATTTACCCATTGATAGCATGGTGGATCTTTTCATCGTTTTTTGTTAACGTTTACCAGGCCGGGTATCAGAAACTGTCCAGTTGTTAGCAAGGCGCACGTTGGAGCTACGGGTTTTTGAGACGCACATGGGGAAGTTCCCCATTGAAATGCTGTCTATCTTCATGGCATATACCCTCCAATAAATTAACACAGACCCTGGCAGTGGCTGGGGTTGGAAGACTGATTTCCACGAAAAATGGCTGATTTTCAGGGTCAACAAGTTAATTTACCAGAGGGTATATTATTTGATGGTGTCTATCATGATATACCCTCTGGTTATTCAACATAGCTATTGAAAATGACCATTTTTAATAGGTAAAGCATCTATAAATGGACCATGATTCCTCCAACAAAAACATCAGCCAAACAAAACAGCACCACTGCAACGTGACGTCACGTTCGATGTGAACCGAACTGTGCTCCAGACTCGCAACCCGCCAAGAGATCTTGCTGACGCCTGGACCAACCATGGGAGTATCTGGGAAACTGGCACAAATTTGGTTTTGCCATGTTTTACCACCATGTCAGATCGATATAACCAAATTCTGGAGATTCAACATGTTTGAAGGGAGAATTACAGTCCCTGAAATGAAGTTGACCCAAATAAAGATGTAATATCACCCACCAGCCCTAATCTTTTGTCTCTCCATGCGACCACACAAAAATCAAAATCTCCCGATTTCTTAAAGACATAGAATCGACCTGATACCAGTACGAGAATGGGAGTTTACAGTCTTCGCACAAGACCAAGAAATCAGAAAAAAAGTACAGCTGTAATCAAATGTTTATCGTGGAGGTCAATTCTGTGCTTTGAAACAGCAACAAATTTTCCGTGGTGTAGCCATCAAATTTAAGCCACCGCTGCTGTGTGATCACTTCAAACGCATGATGTTTTTTGGAGGTCGAAAGCCTAAGATCAAAAAACTGGTGGTTCGACCGATGCTCCCCTGCTCATATGGAAAATCATAGGTTTTACACTGGGGCAAACGTTTACATAGATGTGGAAAGCCCATGGTTTCCCATTCGGAAAATGAGCTACAAATGGAGGGTGTTCCACATCGTGGTGTTGGTTTAGAGGAGAGTAACTCATCCCCATGTGCCTGCCATTCGCCAGCTCCCCCGACCGGCCCGAAGACCTACCTCCTTTGTACCAGTGGTTGGTCTCACTCAAGTTCAGAGATCTGCTTCCAGCCAATGGGCCAGTGAATGATTCCCCTAAATATGAATACATACGGTGTCATGGGCCAATGTCAATATTGTTTCAATATATTTCATATGGCTTTGTCTAAAAATGTTCGTTCAAAGTGTTCAAAACTGATTTTAAACCTCAAGTCATAAATCAGAAAAATCCGAACATCAGTTTCCAAAGTGGCCTTCTATCATGATGTACCCACATTTCCCCTATGAAAATATATGAAAATATATGAAAATATATGAAAATGTATGGCTCATAGAACTGGATGATGGGAAAATTTACAGGAAACCCCTATATTTGATAGTAAAAACCATGGTTTCCTGTAGATTTTCCCTTAAACCAATCCATTGAATGGCCCTTTCGAGGGTCGAATTCCAACGCTTCAACCGGCGGACCACTGGACCCCCTGGACCCCCGGACACATGAAGTGCTCGGAAGTCCTCGGGCTGTTCGTAGCTTCGGATCACCGTGACCTGCGGTGGATGATGATTGGGGACACCATCATTCAATGGATTGGTTTAAGGGAAAATCTACAGGAAACCCATGGGTTTTTGACCATCAAATATAGGGGTTTCCTGGTTTCCTGTAAATTTTCCCATCATCCAGTTCTATGAATCATGGAATATCTGGCCAAACACCTGGGATTAAGTCCATGATGGTTTATGATATGGGAATAATCCCAGGGATTTATGGCCAGAAATAAATGATAAAACCTGGCCATCCCATATCATGGAATATCTGGCCCATCTGGATAATTACCATATGAGATGGTTTATGGCATTGTTGTGTTGCTCATCACCAAATATTGTAATGAAGTGACCAGAAACTCCGTGTGTTGCTATGTTTAGAAAATGGTGAAGAACATCATTCCTGGACTAATAGACCCGGCAGTGAAAAATCGGAGGGTACCATTTGAGTAGCAAATCGTCACCATATGGGGGGGGTACCCCCCAATCAATCAGGGTTTATTAATCTGGGGTTGACACTATGGGATTTTACGAAAATTACATGGTGTTTTTAAAATTTGACCAGGATAAAACTGCCATTTCGTTCGTTATCAAACCTGGGATGTTCCCATCATACATCTGGATTTGAGCAAATGGATGCAAATGGTACAACTTGCCATCAAGCATTGGCACTCACCCTTAAATGGGCATGTGTTTGACCAACGAACAATAACAAACAATATGGGAATATCACATTCAAGTATTACCCAACGGATCTGGGTAAATTATCATAATTCACTAGCCTGAAATGTTCCTAACTACCATCTGGTTATTTAACATAGCCATGGAAAATCACCATTGTTCATAGGTAAACCATCTATTTCTATGGGCCATGTTCATCCATCTATACCATGGCTATGTTAAATAACCAGATGGTATCTTGGGGATGTTTTCCCCAACTAACCACTGCGGCACTGCGTGCAAACACGCTGCGATTCTTGGGTCAAAACCTCCCATATAGTCCTATTCATCCATGTACATTAGTACATAGTGTTATCTATGTGTATAGATATATATATATATACATATGTATGTATGTATGTATGTATATATATATATATATACATGTGAGGACAATATTCTATGTATATTGATATGCATACATATTCTTGCACAGGACTCACCATTTTTTCTAGGCCAATTACATCTGCAAACCGGCTGGTGTTTTCAGTACTTCTTTACATCTGAGTAATGTGGGTAAAACGATGCAATAAACCACCCATGACTGGGAATGGTAACCATATCACCTATTATAAACATGGTGATGACTGGGGGATGGTGCAAATGGCATTGTTTTACCCACATTACTGGCGATCCTCATCACAAGTAGCGGAGAACATGAAAACAATCATGTTATGTATTTGAAAGCACCAACCAGACCATAACCTCACGTTAGGTGCGGTCGCGCTACCTCGTTGTCCCCGTCGCACTGCCAAATAACGACTTTGCCCCCAGCGCACCTGCAGCAACTATTCAACTGTTTGAGTTTAACGATCAATGAATGTTAACCCAGGATTGGTAAAACCCCAGGTTTATTTCTCTGGGTTCCCAAAATAGAGATACTTCCCTGTATACCCCCCCCAATTTTCGTAAGCTAAAGGTTCTTAATCCTGGGTTGATATTACCCAAATGATTCCCGAGCATGGCACTTCATATATGTAACACACAGGGTGCAACTCATAGGTCTGTATATAAATGTCATATATTGTGTATATCAAAATAGCTGGATGGTTTATTTCCATGGGAAAATCCATCGAACTAAATGGATGATCACTGGGGGTAGCCCTATGACTTAGGAAACCTCTGTGTATGTGTGGATCAGATGCTCATCCGCAGATATATGAACAACTACCCATTGTTTGCGAAATCCTGCACCAGTTGATAAGTTGGTAGATGGTGCAAATCCCATGACTATCCCATTATTTACAGGATTCAGAGTCATACTTATGATCATCATTATCCCATCATTATCCCATCATATAGCCAGTATATAGCCATTCTATAGCTATCATATAGCCATAATATCCATTATATCCCATCGATTGTCCATCCGCAGTATGTACATGATTGCAGCCGTTCAATTGTCCATCATTGTATATCCATTTATCCATGTACCTGTATTATGATATATGTTTATTCATCATTTATGTATGTATATATATATATATATGTATGTATGAATATGCTCATTGTATATCCATGTATCCGTGTATTATCTCATCATATGTTTTTGAAGGTTATCATTATCCCATCATTATCCCATTATATAGCCAGTATATAGCCAGTATATAGCCATTCTATAGCTATTACTATTACATGCTATTAAACTATTATATAGCCATTATATCCATTATATCAATTATATCCATTATATCCCATCAATTGTCCATCCACTGTACCCTCTGGTAAACTAACATAGCTATTGAACATGGGAAAATGGCCATAGAAATAGTTGATTTACCTATCAAAAATAGTGTTTTTCCATAGTTATGTAAACGTTTACCAGAGGGTATGTATGGGGGCATTGGTTCATCATCCACTCTCCACCGCTTCAGCCACGGCACGAGATACACGCACCCGAGTCCGGCAGCATCAATAAAGCCTGTGCTGCTTGTCGCGTTCACACGGATATGTGTTCATTGAAAATACTAAGACATACTAAGACATAGATTTAATATACTATGTGACTATGTCGTACTATGTCTTACATGTTCATTGAGTTCAGTTTGTCCAACCTTGCAATAGTAATATTATATATAACTTAACTCATAGTAAGACATGGCAAGTCACCATTTAGATCAGTTTGTCCAACCATATACACATATACTAGCCTAAGTTTAAGGCGCTTCTTTGGGATATTTTTTCCTATACAAAAACACCATTGTTCCAGTGAGGTCGCCAGGTGAGAACTCGTCCGAACAAAGGTGGTCAACCAGAGAGATGAAACCTCCATTCGTACAAAACCTCAAAATGGTCTCGAATTCTAGCCAACTTCCGCATGCTTTCCATATTTCCATGGCTGGTCAGTAGACATCATATAGCTGGATCCGGATTGGGCCAAAAAATTGACTGCCTGCCAAAAATTTGGGTATTTTCAGGGCACACCTTTCTCCTAGAAGTCCATCATGCCATCAGTTTCTCTGAAGCTACCCTTATTTGCCATTCGAAATTGATCAATTTTCCCCCTGAAGTTGTCATGAGTCATGTGAGTCATGTGACACAGCCACAGCCCAAGTATCCAACTAGTTCCGGGATGAGTGTATTTGGATGGTTAGCCACCTAAAAGTGACCACCCTCCGTTGTCAACATGACTGTGAAATCCCCCAATGTTTTCCTGGAGCTTTACAGCAACTTCATCTAGAAATGCAGAAGTTTCCAGCAAACCATGTTTGACTACCCCAGTCTCAGAGGGTATCGCCAAGGGGAACCCAGCTAGTTGATCCAGGGCTTGATGAGTCCTGGGTTGACATGACATTACCTCCTGGTTGGTGGTTGAGCCCTACCCCTCTGAAAAATGTGACGTCGTCAGTTGGGATGATGACATTCCCAATATGATGGGAAAGTCATAAAATTCCATGGTTCCAGTCACCACCAAGCAGTATATAAAATCACCATGCTCAATGGGTAAATCACATTTTTTCATGGGAAAATTCACTATAAATGTTGAATCAGCAGGTTCTTCTCATCAGAGCCCTTGGGGCTCTGTTGGATTTTGGGGAAATCCCACCATTGACCATCCCTACCCGTTCTGGAAGGTAATCATCAAATCCTTATGGATCCTTATGGCATTTTGCCGTATCTAAAACCACATTTTGCCACCAAAAAAATCACCATTTGGGTCATAGCAAAAAAAGACAGGAAAAAAAATAGGAAAAAAAAGATAGGAAATTCACCATTTTGGGTCATAGCAACCTCCAAAAAAGATAGGAAAAAAAACAAAAAAAACACGGATTATCCGCCTGTACCGTCACCTCATGGAGGTTCAGGACCTCTGCGAATCGGAAACCAAGTGGAAACCAGTGCGAATTGGATCTACAAAATGGTGGATGTCACCCAAAATGGTGGATTTAAGCAACAAAAATATAGTTTTTTTGTTTAAAAAAATGGGATTTAACCGGCCTCAACTGGTATAGTCATCCCCAACATGGTGATTTGACGTGATTTGACAATAAACAACCAGCAGTTAACCAGCCAAAAATGGGGGATGTGCAGGAGCATCCTAGGTTACTAACTAGGTAACTAGCTAGTAAACCTATTGTCCACTGGGGGGGGTATCAGATTTACACCTGGGTTACGCCAAATACCAACTTGGATGCGCCCCAATCTGATGGGATTTACTAAATTCTGCCTGTGGGGGAGTTGAGGCACCCTTGGAAAAAGAAACTGCAAAAGACAGATTCCCTACCATGAAGAAGGCTGGAAACCAAGGCACTGGCCAACCATTAGCCAAGACTGCCCAGTAACTGACACATGCAAGCAATGCAACATGATATGACCAACCAAAATGACTTAGACAACAGTGGCTCGATTTTGTTAACCGAAGAAAAAAAAGAATGATGCCATATTGAATGCTACCAAACATACAATACTTGTCAATAGTGGCACAACTCATCTTGGAGAATACTATTGTAAGTGAATACTATATGAGAAATTTGATTGTCACTTGCTTTGCTTCAGACTCACTAACCATATCTGCCATATCTGGCACCATATCTCGCACTCGAGACCTGGACCAACATCATAGAGCCCCTGAGATCCATGGGAAAACAACACATCAGGCCTGCTTGGTATCTGGCATAGAAAATCTCTTACACTTTGCGACATAGAAGCCATGGCCCATAGAAATATAGTTGATTTACCTATAAAAACATGGTGATTTTCCAGTTCGAAAATTCTAAACGTTTAGAAAAGAGGCTAATCCTCGCTGCAAGAATGCTGGCTTCGGCAACTTGACCGACTGCGGTAAGCAACTCGTTGGTGTGTTCGTTTAGTGTATCGACTTTTCGATGTAAGTCATCCATCTATCCATCCACCCTCTGGTAAACTAACATAACTATGGAAAATCTCCATGTTTAATGGGTAAATCCACTACAAATGGCCATTTTCAATAGCAAACTGTTGGTTTACCAGAGGGTACTTCGATGTTTACAAACATATCCATATCACACATGTCACATGTCATTATACAAGGTCATATTGAGACAGGGTCTCTGCAACAGGGCCATGGGGGGAGTCCATTTGGAGGGCCCAACGGCCCAGTGTTGAAGGCACTGTTCCCGGACGAATCATGTTACCAACCATCATGCATCAGCTATATGTACTTACATCCCCATATTGTTGATGGTTGAAACCCGAACTCATCATCAACCAACAGGGGCTTAGTAAGCAACCACCGCGAAAACGTTATATCCCAACTTATCCATTAATAGTCCATTAAACCCCCTGTCACTAAACCATGGTTTAACTATTATTTATTAATGGATATATCCCAACTTATGGAGAATGTCACTCCCTTTATACTGCCTGGTTAAGAATGGGATTCCCATAATGGATTGTGATAATACCAACCCAACACACACACACATATATATATATATAATTATATATATATATACGGTAGTATAATACCCCCTACAATCATCAACCAACAGGGGTGCCGCCCTGAGTTGCCGGCTTTCAGCTGACGCTTCCGGGTGCACTCCCAGATTCGGATGGTGCCATCAGCCGAGCCTCGCGGAAGGTAAAGGGGCAGCCCGCCCAAACCAGAAACATCGAGAAATCCGCGTGAAATCACCATCAATCTCCTCCAGATTCACTCTTTTCATGTTTTTTTCTGAGGGAAAAAACGAAAAATAAATCCCACCTGATTGGTGGTGCCACCAGATCCATGTCTTGGCACTGTTGCTTGGATAGTGAATCACCCTAAACCATGACGCCTTATTGTTGGGGGATCCCCAACAAGGGTCAAAGTCCACGGCTGGAAGACGGTGACTGGATGTGCTAAGCCATGAGATTTTTCTGATACCTTTCGGTAATCAAACATTGCTGGCTGCAAAATCCCCAAGATAATTAAGATTACCAAATCCCTGGTGGAGTATTTTTTTGCTGCACCATTAATCTTAAGAGGCCTGTGACTTGGGTCAGTTTTACCTCTTCGCACCGAAGATTTTTTACCACGTGTTTTAAATCCAAAAATACCGCCGCTAATTGATATGTATATATAATCTGTTCCTATGTGGGTTATCTTATCTCTTCAATCTGGAAAATTAAATCACATCTAAGAATTCGATTGGTCACCCAACATATCTAAGAATTTCAAGGATTCCATTCACCATACCTGAACCCTCCCAATACTCTCAAACTATAGGGTAGAACAGAATTTACAAACTGAGGGTCGAACGGTACCTGCAAAGCTTTACCACTCACTGATTCCATCGATCACCCAGGCATCACCCAGGCACCGCCTGAATAGAGGAAGTGTCCATCAGCAGCAAAACATGTGATGGCATCCTGCGAACCGACACATGCACATGTCCAAAAAAAAAGGGCGCGTGTGTCATTTTCATCGTTTTTTTAGAAATCCCCATATCTTTACGGCATTTAACTTAAGGGGACATGATGATAAATGATAAACCATAGGATTTGGAAAGTCCTGTATTTTCAGACAAAGCCAAAAAAGGGTGAAAATGAATCAATCTACAAATTCACCTTAAATTGACTGGACATCTGAAATTTTACCAAGCTGCAGCTACAATAATTTGCAATTGAGATTCGGCTCTCAGGTGTGCCCGATGGCTCAATTCACCCTCGGTAAACTGTGAGAAGCGAAAAAAGTGGACTCCAAGTGACCAGAAAAACAAATTGAATCCAAACTTAGTGCTTGGTGGGGAATGGGGAAATGATCCCATAAGTATCTTCACAATCATCCCAGCAACCCCCATTCCCTACGTTGTTCGCACCAGAAAAAAATCATAAAGATCATCCACACTTGGAAAAGCGCAGTGACATCAAGTGACATCAAGTGACATCAAGTGACATCAAGTGACATCAAGTGACATCAAGTGACATCAAGTGACATCAAGTGACATCAAGTGACATCAAGTGACATCAAGTGACATCAAGTGACATCAAGTGACATCAAGTGACATCAAGTGACATTTGAAAAAATTGATGTCAGATTCCATTCAAATGTCACTTTCTGAAAAAAAAAGTGACACCAAGTCCTCATGGCCGCGAAGTTCAGCCTGGTTTTTGGTCAGAGAATCGGTATCCCCGTGAGGTCGGATCAAAAATCATGGAAAAACCACGTGGATAGAACATAGTGAACATAAAAATCTGGCAAATAATAGTGGAAATACGATTGATTCATATGTTTAAGGTTAATGAACAAAGACTCATCTAGAGTGAAAATAGGAATTCATTGAATCTTCATTGATCTTTAAAATATGGAAAATAATAGTGGATAGAACATACAAAATGGTTGATAGAAAATCGTGACAATATATATGTTTATGGCTAGAAAAGCAATATCCGTTTCGAACAAAAAAAAAGTGATGGTTGACTTTTCGACATCTTGTAGTTGGTGTGTAGCCTATGCCTATATATATATATTGCTCATCTCTGGATACTCTATGACAATCTATAGATGATCTGTAGATCATGTGAGAATCTAAGGACAGTCTACGGACATTCTAATCATTCTATAGATTGTCATCTGTAGATTGACCCATGGGGATCATGATATAGCATGATAGCCCTGGTTGTCCTAGGTCATCCTAGAGTTCAAACCTGTGCTGAGGACGCCTTTACATGCAATGAAGCAACAAATCATGCGGCATGTCCCAAAGAACGAAGCCTCTGAAGAGGGTGTCATGTTTCACATGGCTAGCTGGGAAATTCCAAAAATTCAATAGAGGTTCATAATGGTTCATAGAAATGCAAAGTAATCTGCAAATGGGTGATGTGAAAAAGCCATGTTTGATTAACGGAGGGCAACCCATTCATCAATTTTGCTCTGCAGTTTGCCCAAGTCGTAAGTTCTTTTAGTTGCAGAGTAATCCTATCTCGATTTGGTAGTGGCCCATGACTGAGAGTCCATGGTTGAAATGATATAGACATAGGTAGACCATGTTTGCAATTCAGAGATGGTGGATGGTTTGACCCGATCTTCAACCTCACATCGAAGTTGAAGATCCTCGAAGCACGATCCACAAGGATAACAACACGGCAAGATGACCCACCTGATCGTCCTCAAGTTTCAGCAGTTGAACTTTCTTCGAAGTTCACACAGTTCAAGCCATCACTCCGCATCATGTCCATTCCACCCACCTGCAAGATGCCTCGAATGGGCGCCGCGAAGCGAGCCGCTCGTTGTTCACGGCGCGATCCTCCATGTGAGCGAAAAAATTGGAAGCACCTTGGGCTTGTTGAACTTAGCATTGGCACAGCCGCAGCCACTGGCACTCTAGCTTGCTCATCAGTTGCCAGGTTTTGAGTAAAAAAATGCTGAGCTGAGTAGCCGCAAATTGGCTGATCTACCTTTGTACCTTTGATAGCCAGGCCTGTGAGCAGCATCATATGAGGACGACCCATACATACAAAAGGGTGTGTTGCAAAAGATAGCCTGTCTAAGACATCTCCCATAGCTGAAAATATATGGAACATTATCTGGTTGGTGCTTTCAACCCCTATGAAAAACATGAGTGAGTTGGGATCATTATTCCCAATATATGGAAAGTCATAAAAAAAATGTTCCAAACCACCAACCAGTTATGGAACATAAAGTATTGGAGATTTATGATGATCTTCAAGGTCGCAAGAATTCACCCAGGGGGATCATTTGGCTTGGCGTTTTATCCACATTTTACTGTAGGAAATTTAGGAGACCCAACATGTCACCTACCCTCTGGTAATTTAACATAGCTATTGAAAATGGTCAATGATAGTGGATTTTCCCATTAAAAATGGTGATCTTCCATAGTTATGTCAGTGCTCTCGGTCCTTTTCCTCTACCACCAGAGTTGTCAAACGTCTGATGGCTTCGCCATCTCAATTATGAGAAAAAGCCTACCTGGTGGATGCACGCTTCGTTTACATCTGATGTTTCTCCCCTGGCCTACACCAGGGAAAATGGAGATAGACCCTCAGCCATCACTGAGGGGGCATCAGTTCAGAAGCAAAAATGCATACCAGGTGCAAAAGACATGCAAAAAAGTAGCTACCTCATCATCATGTTAAATTACCAGAGGGTACACCCACAATCTCCCAATACATCCCAATACATCCCGTACCTCCGGAACTGTGCCCCACAACGACCATTGCCTCAGCCGCTGGTGAATATCCATTTTTTGGGATCTGATACTCGTATCGCCAAACATGGGGCGGCCTACGAAATGAAGGTTGAGCGTGGGATATACCATGCAATAGCAGAAAAATGAGCTGCAGCCCCCTAGCCAAGTTGACTTATAAGTTGGTGAACTACTGCTATTGTTTACGGGGGATAGGATATAATATGATATAACTATAGGTCCTTAGGTAATTCATAGGACCAATAAACCTACTTATTTCACTGCATTGCCTCACCTTTTTAGTAGGATGTTTGCACCAACCGCACGACTCTTCGGAGTGGTTGTTCGAAATATAAAGTGACTCTATTTTGGGCCACTATTTGTCAGCTGATGATTCGTTGATGTTCGATGATTTGAGCTGTCTGCCGACAGCTGGAAAAATTCCAACATCTTAGAGATGGAAAGCATGATGTTGAAACCACCGAATAGCTATTCTACTTGAATAAAAAATGGAAGCAATGACTGAATTGAACGTCTTCCCCAGGTTTAGCAGAAATTGTTCTTGGGTAGTCATTTTCATTTTGTTTACTTGTTTCAGTTGGGGGCCCACATTTTGAGATGTGGTTTCTGCTATTTTTCAGCTACATCCAAGCTGAACTCCCGATTCGTCCAGATGTTCAAATCAAGTGGAAACCGTAAAATGTCAAAGCTAGAATCCTTTGAGATCCTAAATAACCCACCAATCTGTCCGTTTTTAGTTCAACCTCCGACTCATTTTGGGACCATGTTGGCCATGCCACCGGTATTCTCAGCGTTTTGCACATTTTCCGATATTAAGATCATTAATCAAGCATCAATAAACTACAACTTGACAATCAAGGGTTGTCTGAAAATAGTGTACCCCGTGTACCCCCAAATGTTGATCTGTCATCATGATTTTCCATCACTTTCCTGTCATTTTTTCACAAGTTTCCCATAGATTGTCCCATGTTTTTCCCATTTTTTTCCTGCGATTTTCCCATCATGTTCCTATGTTTTCCCTAGGAAAATTGTCATTTTGTGGCTCTAAATCCCCCATGAAAACCACCCTGCACCGGGGTGCCGGATGATGCCCTCGTTGCCGCCCGAGAAGAGGGCGCCAGTCGTGGCGCTGCTGCCCAGGGCTAAAATCTCATCGGTGGCGTCCTGGATGTCTGTTTTGTGTGTGGAATATCCATAGGTTCTGTGTGTGAAATATCCATAGAATGCCAAAGATATCTCTGGGTTCTGGTAATTTATGGAGGTATGGAAAATCACCATGTTCAAAGACGATAAATCATCATAAATCAGCGAACTTTTTTTTGGCCATCTATACCAGTTCGCAAACTGTGAAGTAACCAGAGGATATCTCATGGTCAACCCCAATTTTACCATGGGGTGGTATAAATCACCAAACCTATTGCTATTATTAGGAAAGAAATCAACCACTAAATTTTACCATTCAATTATTGGTTTATTACCCAAAACTATGGGTACTTTCTTACCATGGTGAAAAACTAAGTATTGCATAAATTCGGTATAAATCACCAAACTATGTTCAAATATTACCACACTTTGGTAGAATAACTATCTGGGAAAATTATAATATTTCACTAACTTGAATAGTTCGGCTATTTGGGGATGATTTCCCTAAAATAAATCATTATTCCAGTGAGGCTCATCCCGTCAATGGCCATGACTCAGGAACCGATTCATTGGAGGTACCGATTCCATATATTTTTGGCCTATTATCAATGGGCTATGTAAGGGGATATACTCCCAAAATATTGCCTTATATGGTACAGCACCTCCATTTTTGGATCCTGGAATTCCCATTGATCCCCACTTAGTAAGTGGCTTATAACCCCAGTTATAAGTGGACTGACCTTACTTATCCCATTTACAACCAGGGTTATAACCCACAGAATATAAGTGGGATGAGCCATGAAGTACAGAACATATATACATATACACATAGAATGGGAGTGTAATGAGAATATAATGAACATATATATACGTATATGTATGGGAATAGAATTTATGATGGGAATATGTATACATTAGATCAGAGTAGGTTATATAGATTGGAATGCACAAAGATATATACATAATATCTAATTAATTATTAAGGGAGTGCGATGGGAATATGTGTACATATATATATATACACCTAATGGTAATATAATCGGAATACAATGGGAACATCTGTGGGAGTATCTACGGGAATACAATGAGAATATTCTGTATACAACTAGGTATATATAAATGCAATGGGAATGTATTTAATATAATGGGAATGTATTTAATATAATGGGGGCCCGCTAGATAGCTAAGTTGGTGTACAAGTCCCATAACTATGGTTCATGATACTTATAACAGTGAATGGAATTATATATCATGAAAAATGATGGAATAGAAATATATATATATGAAATATGTATGTATGTAAGCGGGAAAATGGAAAATGACCTCATGGCTTCTACCCACTTGGCAAGTGGGACTGTCATCCCCTGAACATAGTTCACTGACATAGCAGGTGGTTGTGTCGGAAAATTGATGATAAAAACACCACACAATGGCACCTTTGAGTACGGGAAAATGATGATAAACCAAGGGATTTACGTGTGGTTACATTTTCCGACACCCAGATTTTGAGTACGAATGGGTCAGAATACCACTTAAAATTGAATAGCATGCTACTGAAAATAGGCTACCTCTAAATCCCATGGGTTTATCATAATAACCTTCCCCGGGAATAAACAGCCACTTGTGGGATACCGGGATACCGCAATTAAGACAAAGCACTAAGCCAAATCTTAAGAGAAAATGACCATGTCTATGTTGTATTCGGGGGGCACCGATTTATAGTTTGAGACACCCTGGCATCTCAAATGGTTGTGGATCAAAAACCCAAAATGTATCCTGATAAAAACCAAAATAGCTACTAAATGGTTTACTATGGTATACTATGGTATATCAGTAGCTAGTTTACATCTCCAAAATACTATAGTATCCAAATGGGTAAACCAAAATACCAAAATGTGCAAATATATATATGGTTTTTGCTATGGCATACCCTCTGGTAATCGAACATGATAGTGGGAAATCCCCGCACTAAATGTGTTTTTTCAGCAAGCCATGTTTGATGACCGGAGGGTATTGGGTTTGGAGCACTTCCATCCAGGTTCTTTGATTCTATTCCCATTAGGTATATATATATATATATACATAATATATATACAAATATAAACACCATTGGTTTTGAACCATTCCCAAATTTGGACCACCGGTAGCCGACCCAACAAACACCCACAAGTAGCCCACCAGTAGCCCACCCAGGTCCGGATGTGCATGTACCACTCGTTCGAACTTGGCCATGGCAGTACCTGGATGGCTTATCTATGACCCATGGCGGATCAAAAATGGGCTCTGAATCAACCAATCATTGATCATAAAGACAACTTTGACACCAATTTTTCTTCACTGCAGTCATTGATCATGGTATCAATTTATATCAATGGGGTATGGGGGATCAGCAAACCCATCCAAAAAAAAAGATTCTTGGGGTATCAAAATTGGTCATACTTGACATTTCACCGTTTTAACCATCAATCTTTCTGGGACGGGCGTCATGATTTTGAACCACATTTGATTCAGACATAGGGAGCCATCACAATCGAATTGGCCAAAAGACAGATTGAACAGGGTAAAAGCATGTTAAAGTTGTTAAAGCTATTTAGCTGCCAGGGTTAAAGTAGAAAAAAAAAGTCGAAATCACCCGCGCAAGATTGGACAATGACAAAAAATGGAGGATTTCACATGATTTCACTGGCTCAAAAATGGCATTCAGTCCACCAAAAGTGGCGCTCTGACAAAAAACTTTGACTCATAGAAATCCCCAGCTCCCTTTGACGCCACACATATTTGCCCCGTTTGGGGAGTTCCGAAAGTGTGGGTACTCTCAAATCATCCAAGTCATTAGACCATTTTAGTATTGAAACCTACAGTATGGTGACTTCCGGATCCATAATTTTAAGAAACCCCCATTTGGATATGGATTAAAACCTGGGTTGCGCTTCTATTCACATCAAAACAGCTGGTAGTTATGGATGTACCCCCTATGATATGGTGATTGGAAAACCCCACCTTGTCCAATAAAATCGATAAAAAACGATACCCAACTTTGACAAGGTGATGCCCCGGTTTCGAATCGCTACTTTGGTCTAGTTCTCTGTGTTCGGTGTTGGGTCCATGGCGATGAAATATTTTTTGTTCATGGTGTTTATAACCTAACAAACATGGGTCGTGGGGCACCAACTCCGGCCTTGGAGGGCAGTATGAAACGTTCAGAAAAAAGTTAATCAAGCACCATCTGGTAATCAAACATGGCAATGGAAAATGGCCCCTTTATAGACAATTGTCCCATCAAAACCTGCATCTATAGGTAATTTCAAGTTGCCACGTTTGATTACAGGAGGGTATACAGTCAAATAAAGCTTTTATCTAGGATTATCACATAGAATGCCATAGATATCTCTGGGTTATTCTCTGGTAATTTATGGAGGTATGGAAAATCACCATGTTCAAAGACGATAAATCATCATAAATCAGCGGACTAAATAGGCCATCTATACCATTTCGCAAACTGTCAAGTAACAAGAGGATATCTCATGGTCAATCCCAATTTTACCATGGGGTGGTATAAATCACCAAACTATTATTAGGAAAGCAATCAATCACTAAATTTTACCACTCAACTATTGGTTTATTACCCAAAACTATGGGTACTTTCTTACCATGGTCCAATGGTGAAAAACTAAGTATTGCATAAATTCGGTATAAATCACCAAACTATGTTCAAATATTGCCACACTTTGGTAGAATAACTATCAGGGAAAAATACAATATTTCACTAACTTGAATAGTTCGGCTATTTGGGGATGATTTCCCTAAAATAAATCATGATTCCAGGGTTCGGTCGAACAGTGAGGTCGTTATAATTTACCCAGAAGTATGAAAAGGTGGCTGTCCAAACCTTTCGACCTTACCAACCTGAAAAAAATCAGGGAGAACCTCCGTCAGGCTTGGGCCCGGGCTATCCGAGGTTAAGGTGACACGCCAGAAGGACCTCGACCAAACTGGATGAAAAATACCATTCTTCACCTTCAAATTCAGAGAAAATCCTCCAGTTTGAGGGTTTTTTTCCAGAAACCTCCATTTTTTGGCCACAGGGATTTTCCCATTGCTATGGTTGATGGCCTGAGGCTACATATAATCAACATATATCTATATGTGTCATATACTATATGCACATACTGTGGATGGAAGAAATCCTGCACCAGTTGATAGAGGGTTTATCCCATTATTTACAGGTTTTCAACCATCTAAGGTGGTGCAGGATTTCTTCCATCCACAGTATGTATATTATATACTAATTATATGTGAAAAATAGCCCACAAGCGACAAGTCGGCAAGGCTTACCGATGGTGAAATCATGCCGTCGATGTTCAGCACATGGCTTCAGAAACAGTCGATGCTCCTTTTACTATGCTTGAAACTGAAGAAACCTAAAATGTGTATGTTTAAAGCACATGTTTCTTTAAATACAGGTTCAACCTGACTCAATTGTCCTATTCATATCAGCGGACTTCGCTGTGATTTCCTGTTTTTTGTGGCAATCAATGGGGCTGTGGGAGATGCTCATGGTCAAAGATATCCAGCGATTCGTGTAGTTCATTGGGAATGTCCAATCGAATCAGATTTAAATCAAAGAACCTAATCATTCTATTGGGTGGTATCAAGAAAAAACATCATCATCATCATCATCATCATCAATCATCATCATCATCATCATCATCATCACAATAATCATACTAAAGATACTAATACTGATACTATCAATAGTCATATGAATGATAGTCATCGTCATTGTCATCCCAGTCATCCCAGCGGTCCGAACATGAGCCGATCGTAGGAGCCAGCAACCACCAGTTCAAATCCTCGTCGAAAAATTCAATGGAAATCCATGGGTCTTCACAGGAATCCAATGTGTTTTCTTCTTGGACTTCATGGATTTGCTTCACATTGGTTTTGAAGGAGGCTTCCATTGGTGAATGGATTGTTAAACACTGTATAAAATTATCCACTGTTTTGATATGCATGATAAGCATCCCATGATTTTCACATGAAGGATTCTGCCACCCAATTCGAACACAGTCCTGTGGGAGTGTTCTCAGGTTGAACTGAGGAATCGCCGTGCACGTGCACCACAATGAGGGCGCTGATGGTGTTCTCATGTACCTAAGAACAGAAAGCTACGAAGATGTTTTGGCACGCCCAGAATTGGTGATTTGGATGGATTTAGAGGTTGACATACCTCCAATTCCGTGTTTTTTTTGGACTTCAAAGGGGTATAAACAAGTAAAATCGAGGCATGGGCGCAGAAATCTCGCACTGTGCACCATCAATTTATAAACCATCCATTTTTGTCACTCTCCAACGCAAAAAAAGGGACATCGTCCGGGACGTCCGGGATGGATCCAACGGACCGATCACCGACATCATCACTAATTTCATCATGCCAGCAACCCCAATCCCTACGTGTTTTACGCACCAGTAAGAAAACATGTTTTTGTCCAAAAAAAACAATATGAAACCATTCGCACAGCAGTATGGGAATGCTTCCCTGGCCAAGTGCAAAAAAAATGCATCACTCGATCAGTGTTTGGATTTCGTCAATGTCCATGGACACAGATTTTTGACATCTTCAATGATTCAGCAACCAGCTGAACTCTCTTTGTGGTTGGAGGTTGGCTGATAGGATTTCCCTATATATTGGGTAGGTAGTGAGGTCGTGACAATTCAACGCACGTCACGGCCAACCTTGGATGCCCCACAAAATAAACACTCGCTTTTAGTTGGAAGTAATATTTATATATATATAAGTATAATCTCTCAATACATATCATTTAATAATTGCAACTATTACAACCGGAAAAGAAAACATTGGTTTTTTTTGGTGGCCAAAAAAACATCACATTAAAACATCTGGCTATGAGTTAAAAGCCTGGTCCCCGTCACGATGCTCAAAACCGGGGCACCGATTGGCCCGTCACGGTTCTCAAATACGCCTGCTCACCTCAATGGAGACTGGAAAAATGTCGAAATGGTAAGCATAGGTTGAAAAAAATAAGGGAATAATCACCATTTTTAATATGTAAACCATCTATTTCTATGGGCCAGTTTTACTAAGTTTTACCATGGCTATGTCACAAATAACCAGAGGGTAATTCTTGTTAAAACAAGAGGTATTAATAACTGTTGTTGCGGTTTTTGACTATTGTTGATGAGAATTTTGATTTTGTATCTATAGAATTATCCATAGGACCTATAGATATCTATAGTTGTTTCTCCAACATAAACCCAACAGTTGACATAATGAACGTAACCAACTTAGTTGCAAGGTGTGACCCCCTGTTGACGATAGCCAAGCCTTAAGCAAGGTTCATGCGGGATAACAATAGTATTCATGGGTGGTATAAGCCAACAAACATAACTATGGGGGGCGCCTCACCTTGTATGTCCTATATGTTCCAAAAACGTCCCAGACTATATGTGGTACTGCTATATTTGCAACCCCAATCCATTGTTTTGGGTTGTTATTCTTCCAATTCACCATGCAATGCCGTCCTTTCCTTTCAACAAAAATGACTGGTTGCATGGGGAACCCTCTATTAATCAACCAACCAGTCATTATCAGAAACTTGGAGGTCAAGATATTATTGACTTGGTCATGTGATGATGTTTCCTCATCTGAATGTGTCAATAAAAATACTAGGACGTTTTTTTGTTGAAAAACACGATGATGATGATGATGTTGATGATGATGATGATAACATGTATAACATGTATAACATGTATAACATGTATAACATGTATAACATGTATAACATGTGTATATATAACATGTATATATATAACATGTATAACATGTATAAGATGTATAACATGTATAACATGTATAACATGTAAAGCATATATAACATGTATAACATGTATAACATGTATTACATGTATAACATGTATGACATGTATAACATGTATAACATGTACAACATGTGAACGAATCCAGCATATCTTCCAAACCAAAAGTGGCTTTGGAAGCTGTGGTTTCCTCAGCCGTTTTTGGGGTTGGATTTTTCAGTTTGGAGGTGTATCTCAAATGGAGTTCCTGTCTATTTGGACAGTGGTCATGACGGAGAGGGACCAAAGCTGTGATCCTAACTTAATCCGTACATATCCCCTTGTTTGGATGCTATGGTATTTGATTAACTTTGGGCGAACCCAAAACCATGGGTCATTCTGTGCTAGACCCTGTAGGAGAATGAGGCTGTTTCCCAATCCAATAACATCACATATACCTATGTAAATATTTATACATAGGCATGCATAGCGTCTTGATTGCGGGGAAGTATATACATTTACATATATGCTATGCAATATTATTCTGCAACAAAAAGATAGAACATATGTTTATCTCTATTTTAGTGGGATTATATTTTTCTATTTTCTTGGGCAGTAATATAAATATATATATATATACATACATATACATATATATACATATATATATATATACATATACCCTCCTGTAAACATTGCCATGTGGAGTTTACCCATCATCTTCATGTCGATTGTTTCCCGAACGGGAAACCGATCTGGGTTTTCCACATCTGAACGTTGACTGTAGGGGAACTGATGGTTAGTTTACCCCCAGAAAACCATAGGAAAACCATAGGAAAACCATAGGAAAATGGAGGTTTACCCTCTGGTAAACATACAAAAAACAATGGAAAATCACCATTTTTCATGGGTAAATCGACTATTTCTATGGGCCATTTTCAATAGCTATGTTGGTTTACCAGAGGGTATCCACTAAAAAATGGTGATTTGTAGGGTATACCCACTTTCAGACTGCATAAGGGATTTTCAAAGCTGACCTTTTGGCTATGAACAAGTGTAGTATCTGTACACTACATGACATGCAGACACACCTGCGGTAGGTCGACAACAACTTTCCTGCCGTAGGCTTCTTTTAGCCCAAGAAAAACAGGTGCTCACGCTGCTCCGCAAGCAGGTTATGAGCCCAAACCGTGCCTCTCGTCGCTGAAACATGGCGCATCGACGAGGTAGAAGTGTTCCAGGACACCGAGAAGGGCGTCTTCACTTGAATGAAGGTGAGCCGGTGAACCCTTTTTGGTCCCAAGGAGTACAAGAGGCAGTGATGGTGGACAGGCTGAGACCAGCCAACCTACCGCCAGTCCGGGTAACTCCAGATAGCCTACCTCCAGTACCTGCTGATGAATGGGATGGAGATGAAACACCAAGACCGGTGCAGGGGCTTTCTCGAGCGATGGGCAGTGGTGGGGGACTGCTGAGAAGTCAAGGCCGAATGCCAGCTGTGGCATTTGCAACACCTAGCAGCTGGGAGCCTCATACCCCAGGACCACAGGGCACTCAGGTGTTCAGGATGGAGGAAGAAGCTTCGAACTTCAATCTCTTTGACTTTGATGAGGACCTGGCGCAGCAATCTTCATGTGCAGGAATTCCTCAAGTAGATCTTCTTGGCCCTCTTGGTGGTGAAGGACATCGAGGGAAAGGTCAAGGGGGAAACGATCAGGGAGAACGACAAAGTGATGGACTTCGTTCTCAAGGACCTCTACGGCAAGATCAAGACGGAAGGGAAAGGGAACCTCCTGGACAAAGGCAACGTTCTCTGGATCTTCTGGGTGATGTTCTAAGAGGTTCACATGGTGATGTCTCAGCTCTGCAACGTGGAAGGGCCCAAAGTCCAAAAAATCTGCAACGTGGAGGAAGTTGTCATGGAAACGATCGAGACTCACGTGGACTTTCTGGAGACCGTCATCGGAACGATCAAAGTAGGTCTAGAGGTGAAGATCGTGCCAAAGATCATCTGCAAGGAAAAGAACTCCGTGCGGAACCCAAGAAAATCCAACCGAAAGACCAGACAGGTTCAACGTTGGAGCAAGATTTGAGTTCGTTGTTGGTGCAGCAGTTGATGCAAGAAAATGAGGAGCTTCGCAAAAGGTTGGATGCGATGGACAAGAACCAGCCTTCTTCTCATGGACAACAAGGTCAACATGCGCAACAAGATCAACAACGTGATGAATTAGATACTTCGAGTTGGGAATCGATTCCTTCAAGGGCGACTCCAACAACACCTACAAACCGCCAGACCAAAGATGTGGCCAAAGTCACTCCTGGTGGAACTCAACTTCCAGATGGACCACCGCCCATTGACAAGGTGGAGAAGGATCCTATGCCGCCGCCATTGCCTCCGGTGCCACCGATGTTTTTTGGAGGATATGAGGAGCACAATGAAGCGGGGGTGAACAAGTGGCTTGGACCTCAAGCAGTACGTGTTGGTGTTCAACAAGGTGATGGAGAGGTACATGGCTTCTGGAATAGCAGAAGAGGAGGAATCCAACAAGTACCTGATCCCGAAGCGGAAAGGGTTCAACGACTTGAGCAAGAACTCAGGGAACTTCGCGAAGCTTTGACTATGCGACGGGTTCCTGGTCAAGAACCTTTGGGTGCATATGGATCTCAACCATTTCAAAGAGTGGGACCTCCAAGTGCTGATCCGTCGGGAGCTCAATGGCATCTTCGTCAAGCTTGCAATGACGTCAACATGCGCGACTGGATCCAGGTGAACAGTGGGAATCCATATCTTCATCAACAAGAACCTTCCATAGCTGGAAACCAACTTGGATATCAAGGAGGCCAGTTTGGGAATCTTGGTCAAGGTGGAGGTCAACATCAAGGAGGTGGAATTGGTGACCCAAGAAGTTCCTTGGGTGGTGGAGTTCAAGATGATCGGCCTCGTGAGGAAGAGCTCAAGCCGGTGACCATCACTCTGCCGAAGCTCCCGGAATTGGGAGGGAAAAATCAAGGTCTTGAAGCAGGTGACTGGATGGCCCAAATCCGTCCACAAATTGCTGATGTCAGTCACCGTGCAATGTGGTGGTGGGATACTTTGGTGACCATGACCACTCAACGTTATCAACAATGGTTGGGAAGTGACCCCATCACTCGACTCAATGTGCAACCTCCTACAGTTGAGGAATTGCCAAAAGGGTTTACGAGGTTGGAGCAGAGGGTGACGTCTTTGCTCATGCAGGCCCTTCCAAAGACTCTGGCTGCTGAGATGATTGCAAATCGCCAGCTTGGGGCTGCTCAGATCATCTTCAAGGTGATGAAGGTCTACCAACCAGGGGGCTTGGGTGAACGACAAAACACTTTGCAAGCTCTCACAACAACACAACCTGCTGGAACGTACCTGGAAGCTTCCACGTCTTTGAGAATGTGGCAAAGGCATCACTCACGAGCTGAAGAGCTGGGTGCAACAGTTCCAGACCCTACTTTGATGGTAGGTGCGCTTGACAAGATCATGTCAAAGTTGTTACAAGGGAATCCTCAGGCGAACTTCCGCCTCAGTGCTTTTCGAATGGGGGCACAAGTTGACACAAAGCCCACAGCTGCCACGGTCAAGCAACTTCATCAGATGCTTCTTGCAGAAGTTGAACTTGCCATGGGTAGTCAAGAAACGCATGGAAAAGGTCAAGGAAGCCCTGCAGTGAAAACCCTGAAGGATAACAAAGCTGGTAGTCCAGCACAACCTGTATGCCGCTTCTGGAAGTCAGATCAAGGATGTCGACAAGGAGCACAATGCAAGTTCCAACATCCAGCGCATGAAGATGGCAAATACCACTGCTACACTTGTGGCGCAACGAACCACAAGAAACCGGATTGCCCCTACAACTCTCCGATCAAGGAGGACAAGAGCAACACTACGACTGGAGCTTCAAAAGGTTCTCCAGCCGGGGGGAGTGGTGCCGGTGGTGGTGATGGAAAAAGCTCTGGAAAACAGGGTGGAAAAAGCTACAAGGGCAAAAGTGGCAAAGCCAACAAAGATGACCAGAAGGGCAACTCAGCAGGATCTAAAGACGATCAAAAGAATGTGAAGAAAGTTGAAACCGATGGAGGAAAAGAAGTACCAGCTGACTCCAAAGGAACATCAGGTGCTGGTACGGGGGAGACTTCGACTTTGGTGACTGA